CAGCGGGCAAGCGCCCCCTGGCGGCCGCCGGGCTGCAGCACGCTGGGCGGGGCCGGGCTGAGGGGCGGGGCCGGGCTGGGGCGGGGCCTGGGGGAGGGGCGGGGCCGGGCTCCCGCTGCCGCCGAGCTCGGGGCGCGTCCCGCCGGGGCAGGGCCGGGTCCGTGTGTCTGTCCCGCCCCGAGGGGCGGTGGCCGCGGGACCCGGACCCGGCGTCGCTCCCAAAGAAGTACCCGAGGCACAGGTGGCGCTGCCCGGTGGTCGCGGCCGCGGTTCGGTAGCACCCTCCGAGCCGCGGCCGCTGTGCAGGCTCAGATAATGAGTGGGACCATCTGAATTGTGCTCATGACCCGTTCCATTAACAGGTAGCCGTTGACAGACAGCGAGCTAAAAGGCCCAGAAGAAGCATCCAAATGCTTATCCTTTCTGGCTGTGTTTGCACTTGGGTAACACAATGTCAGGGCAGCACTCCCGTTGTAAAATCACCTGGTTCCAGTGAAGACACTCCGGGTAAATCTTGAAGGGTTGTGGTTTGGGGATATTTTCTTTTTTAAGATGAGGCGGCTCCTGGAACACCACACTCTGACCACAATCCTTCTGTACTGAAGAGTTGGGGGGGGGGGGGTAGTTTTTTTTTTCCCCTGTAACTCCAGTTAAAGGGAACAGTGAGCCACAAATCCTAATTTTGCTGTCAGCTTGGGAATTTGAATTGTGTTTCTAACAGATTTTTCTTCCTCAAGCTGCATGTTGTGCTAATAGAGGGAACCAATTTGCATAACTTCTGTCAGTCTGAAGCACTGCCTGATTGCTTTCTGGTACAGAAGGTTAGTTTAAATGTTCTTTATATTTGTGATCTGATTAACTTTTCATGATGGGAAATGTTTTCATGATTCTATATGGTTACAGAGCATGTAGACATGAAATATACTGAAAGAAATGCCAGCCTATTTGGAAAAGCAGTAATTTTGTTTCCTTTTTCTTTAGCATAAAAATCCAGAATGTCTAACTTGGCCCAAATGTTAATTCTCCAGTCTTAGTGTTAGCTTGGGAAGCAGTGTATGCCTCTGTATTTGCCCATATTTGCACAAATAATGAATAATTTACTACTGGGGCTTTCTGATCAGATTTTCAGCTTTCCAGTAGAAAATCCAATAGAGGCCTTTTCTTTTGGTGAAATTTATTATTTGATATTTCATTTAAGTAGCCTTGATGGTTATAGATCTGTGCAAAAAGGTTAAACTTGGAGATAGCAGAAGGCTTTCAAACAGTACATAGTTTTATAGTACATAAATCTTTGTGTCTAATGGAAATTTATGGCAATGAAAAGGCAATGTTCCTTCGTAGCCTGGTAGATTTTGCTGATACTTAATTACCTTAGCTCTCAAAAAAAGATATCACGTAGTGAAGGCGGGGTGGAGGAAAAAAAGTGTCAGCTCTGTACTGCTTTATGCCATGCATGTGATCCTCAGCAGTGGCAGGAACACATCACAGACGAAGGGATCTCAGCAGAGTTCTGTTGTCAGTCCAGTCACCCCTGAAACACCAGGTAAACTATCAGAGCAAGAAAGGAGGATGTTTTCTAGTTCACGATCAGTTGCATTTTTGCAAGTTATCTCATTAAGACACTTCAGCTCTTAAAAAAAAAAAATTAATTTCCGGCAGTAATTCTCAAAGCGAAATAAATCACCCTTCCGAATGAAATGTCACTCCCAGCGGCTGGTGCATATTGCTCTTCTCTCGCAGTTTTTGAACACCGGGAGCTGCAGAACTTGGCGTGCGCGAGGTGCCGGCGGTCGGTCCCGCACTGCTGCGGCTGCCCGGGGCACGGCGGCCGGCTCGGCGGGCAGCTCTGCCAGCAGCCGCCCACCGGCACGGCCGGGCAGCGGCCCCGGCCCCGGGCGGGGCGGGGGGTCCGGGCGCCGCCTGATTGGCCGCAGCGCGGGGCCCCGCGGAAGGTGCCGCGGGCGGCGGCGGGGGCGGCGCGGCGGGTGCCCGCAGGATGGGCGGCAGAGCCGGCTTCTTCGAGGTGGGTGCGGGCGGCAACGGGGGCGGGGGGCGTCCAAGGCGAGGAGAGCCCGGGCCAGGTCCCCAGCATCCTGCCGCCGGTGAACGGGGCTGCCCGGGATCCCGGCGGGCTCCTCTCTCTTCCCCCTCCATCTGCATTGAAGCACCGGGGAGCCGGAGCCATCCGCTCCCGAGTCGGCCGAGGGAAGTGACCGCCGCCGGAGCAGAGCAGAGGGGCCCGGGAGGGCACGCTGCTCCCCGGGGGTTTCCTTGGGGCGAGGGGGAAAAAGAGGATGCCGCCCGCCCCGTCCTCTCCTTTCCCGGGCACGTTCCCGTCGCCGTTCCGGATCCTCGCGTCCCCGGTGTTCCTCGGACGTGTTCCCGGAGAGCGGGGCCGGGGGAATCCCCGGGCTTCCCGGCGCGCTCTCGGCGGTCCGCGGGAGCGCCGGATCAATGCTCTGGGCTTCTTCTTCAGCCCTACAGAGAGAGCGAGAGCGAGGAATTTTCCCGGCACCTTCTGTCCCCAACTTCTCGGAAAACCCCGTCGCCAGGCGCTGCGCACTTCGCCGGCAGCCGTCCCGAGCAGCCTTCCGGCCCGCTGCAGGCGTGGCCGCGGGCGGCAGCATCCTTGGGTCGGCCCGGCCCGGCTCGGTTCGGCTGGGCTGGGCGGCAGGAGCCGGCGGGGCAGTTGGTGCCCTGGGCGAGAGGACGGCTCCCGGCGCGGCGCTCGCTGCCCGGCGGCTACGGGCGAGGGGCCTCCGCTAGTCCGGAGCGCCCGATCTCGAGCGGGGAACGAAAACCAGCCGGGCGGAGTTTAGTACAGTCAGCTCCTTGTGCTTACAGAAAGCGCAGAGTAACGTGCACCTGGGGAGCTTCAAGGGTAACATCGCATCCACTTACATAAACAGCCACACAGACTCTTGGCTAGAATTAGTTAGGCTGGGTAATACAAAAAATCTTAAGAGCGGCTTATATTTCAGAAACAGGTCTGTGCAAGCTGAATGACAGCAATCCTGAATGTGTTTCTGCAGGCTTATACTTTGGTTTCTCAATCACGATTTACCTAAAAAAAATGCACAGGCGGAGGAATGTCCCTCCCACCGTGCAAATTACAAAGCAGTTGTTATAACACAAATAGAATCCAAAGCCATCTGAAAACCATCTACTCCTTTAGGATTTTACCATGACCTAAAAGTTCAGATTTTACTTTTCAAAGCTATAAAAATGATCCAGATGTCACAATTCAGCAAAATAAACTGCTTATAGCTCTTTTGGGTGTGAGGTAGGCACCTGCACCATGCTTTTTCCTTAGCAGTGTTGACTTCCTAAAATTTTTTTGGGAAGAACAACCAGACTTGTACTGCCTCATGGATTTCTGCCAGTGAGGTAGAACTCAAACTGTTGTGAGATCCAAATACGGGAACAAGCACATGTGTAATACCATCCTGATTGCCTTCAGTCACTTCAGATTTGCTCTTCTGCCTCAGACTTATTTGAGCTCCTAAGGAGCACTAGCTAGTAGAAGATCTCACAAGCATGGACATCATTATTGTCACCTGATTTTGCAGATGGGGAAACACATGAAAGTTGAACGACCTGCTCAGTCTCACTAGGCAGGACAGTAGCAGGAGATCCGGGTCTTTTGAGTCCTAGATCAAGACCCTGTGTTTAAGCAACACTAATGCAAATTCAGCATGATTCATGAATTTACATGTCAATCTTGTATATCTTAGCCCTTTTCTTTTTATAGCAGATAATGGATGGAAACAGATTTGCCCAGCTCATCTAATATGTGAGCTGTCTCAGGGATAGGATGTGGACAAAGACTGCCTAAGTAGCACTAGCAGTGCAGTTGCCTATTGCTTTCTGCACTGTTCTCCCTGATTTCTGTTACAAATTCATTGACTTTGAATCCTGAATTGCATTTCCCCGCCTCACATTCAAAGCTGAGCTATGTAAAGAGGGAAGGTGAGAGTCCTTCTTGTCTCAGTAGTTCCTGGGGAGGGTGGGCAGAATCTCTACTGTTGTTATAAAATTTAGTGTTCCCTCCTTGAGGAACTGTATAAATTTGTACTTTCCCCTATACATTTATAAACCATTTACCCTTTACTGTTCTTCTATTGTGCTTCCTGATAAGAATCACAAATCACAATCACCAAACTGTCATGTTTACTTCAGGTGTTGGTATGTTTCTACTTTCACCTCATTTTTCTTATCACTAATAGCTCAGAAGAAGCTTCTCAAGGACAACTATAAATAAGTATGCATATACTTGAAAATACTGCACCTGATAATTTGAGGAGCTTCAACTCCAAGGGCTGAGATGTACGATAGAGACTTGTATCTAGATTAATTCTTTTAAGAGTGCTCATTTCTCTAAGTTGCATAGAGAACAACTCTTCTGACCTATTTGAGATTTGTTTCCATGATTATGATACTGTTTATCCAGTGTCTGTTTTCCTCCTTTCCATAGGAGGGATGCCTACGTGACACACTCAGATGTAAAAGTCTCCAGTAGAGCTCTGAAGTTAGGCTAATGAACTGCATCATTTCTTTTTACTTGACAGGTTTAGGTCTTCAAAAGCATTTCTTATAAAGAAAATAGTATGGTGTTCTGACTTCCTAGAGGAAAGATCCTTGAACAAAATATTCATACTGTATAAAATTAGTGTCACAAGACCCACAGTTGTACTTTTGCTTCCTTAACTGGTTTGGATGGTAAGTGCATTTTGTGAGCAGTGATACCCAAAAATGTTTTGGAATCTTCACCCCGTGATGATTGATTGAACTGACATGTGCAGTACAGTCTAAAAGCAATAATGTACTGGCCCCCCTTGTTGGCATTTAAAGTTCCCTCCCTCTTCTGTCTGTGATGAAAACCCTCTGAGTGTAAGGGGGGTGGTGGCGGCTGGCTGGCTGGCAGGGCTGAGATGTCACAGCTCCTGTTACAAAGGCTTCTCCCTCTCAGAGCTATGCTGTCTAAAGCCTTGTCAAGTAAGAGCACTGAGAGCAAGTGCTAAAATCATGACTGCAGAACATTTCAAGATGCTGTATCCTCCAAGAATTGCCGTAAGACAAGGCCACATATGAGATATTTGAACAGTCATTTAAAAGGACAACTGAAAATTGCCCTGCTGTTTGAAGACATCTGCTCTGTTTTCACAAGTAACACAAGATTATTATCACAGAAAGAGATGAGATGTCAGGACAAACATTATCCCTTACTCTTCTCTCACCACTTTTCCCCTCACTTCCCAACACTTCAACACTCAGTTGAAGTGCTTTACTTAGAGCAATTTGTCTTTTTTATCTGTGAAGCTTGAGAGAGAAACTTAATTTTGTGTAGGAGAAGATGATAGTAAAACATTAATTGGCAGGAAGTACCTGGAGCTACTCAAAATTTGAAGGCTACATTTGAAATGAAAAGTCTTACATTAGGAAAAAAAATGAGCTTCTTGAAGTATATTTTTTAAAAAATAATACCAGTTTTGTAAGTTCACCTGTCTGTACGAGGTCTCTAAAATTCCCAGGGTTTCCAGTCTTCCTGCCCTATCAAAAGACAGCAGACCCATCCTTGATGCTGCTAGGTAAAAAACAAAGAAAAAAACCAAAAAACCTCTTCAATTCCATGTCAAAAGCATACACTGTATGTACATTTTGACATCCCCACACCAAATTATGCACAGAGTAGTAATGAAACTAGAAATACTGAACTTTGATAATGCAAATCACAGTGCTGATACAAAGATATGACTGTGATTTAACAAAGAATTTGTATAACTCTTTGTCTACCTGAATATTGCTGTTGTAGAACATAACCACCATAAACTAAAACCCCAAAGCAGTGAATATTCTCTTGCACAAGGAAAAGTCTATGCAGTGGTGTTGAAAAACCTGGATGTCTACTTAGTGTTGAGTCAAAGCTGGCTCAGGTTCTCAGACGGAGGCACTCCAATGTGCTTCATAGTGACAGTGATACTCAGTGAATGATGTGACTTCTCAGTATGCCTGGGAAATTGGCAACATGCAGCTCTGTGTTAGCCAGCAAAAGCACTGAGTCAGTATTAACTGCTGGAGGTTCCTTTCCATCTTGTGTATCCTCCTGAAAGATCCCATAGTAGTAAAAGCTGGAAAGTTTTTGTAGATTTTCAAGAGCCAGAATTCAATGTGAAAGCCTTAACGACTTTTCCTTTCTTGAAAAAGAAATCAGCCTCCCACCCCAAATGAATAGACTTTCCTTTTCCTTCCTGACTGTTCTTATGCTGACTCATTTAATCTCTGTCAATTATATAAATGGATTTGTCTTTCTGAAGGATGAGCATTTGTAGCTCTACCTGTTATCATCCTTAGGCCCAGGTCCACAAAGCAACTTGGGCTTTGCAATGTGTTTGGGTTAGGCACTCAGCTCCAAGATCAGATAGGACAATTTGGTCAGGGTATCCAAGTTTGCTTCAACTCTTATCTCTTTACTGTGTGCTATCCCAAAAGGCATCTGCTGTAGTGAAATAATGAACAGAATTACAGTAGAAGGGAGCAGTGATAAAAGGAGCCCAGAGAGACAGAAATTCAGACTTTCTATTTGGTAGGAGCCCTTTTCACTGAAGCCCCCTCCTGCCTTTTCCTGCCTGTGGGAGAAATGGCAAATGACAAAAGACATTCCAAAGCAATTTTCCCATTTCCTGGCAGTGTGTCTAACTATTACATGTAAAGCATGAAGAACTAGATCATCTCCTTTGCTGACAGTTCAGTTTCATTCAGAAAGAATCTAAATGCTGTGTATTGTGCTGACCTTGGGATAAAGATGCTTACTGGATCAATATCCTCAGGGATTTAGATGAGAGCATGTCTAACTAGCAAATCAGAAACAGGTGGAAGAAATAAAAATGCAGTATGAGTATCAGCACAGGTCAAACACTGGTGCTCACTGGCTTGCAGAAGAGCAGAACTTAGGAAGCTGATGAATAAATACCTAGTGTATCTCTTGTGAACCTGTAAATGTTAGACATCTAAATTCTACAGAAGTGAAAATTCATTTTAGAAAACCCTTTGAGTATGGGCATCACTGTATCTCTTTATACACAGTGAAATAATGCAATATGGTTCTAGTCTCATGAAATGTGAGCCATTGCTTCAGAAGTAAGGATTTATTTAGCTGGACTGCTTAGAAAATAAGGTTCAGCACTCCACAGGTAAGAGGATGAAATTTTGCTTTGTGGTTGAACATTTGCCTTGGTTCTGGTTTGGAAATTTCTCATATAGCTTGTGACTAAGCTGTGAGACTCCCTGCCTCAAGACTGTTTACACAGGTTTAAAAGGCAAATGGATAAACTAGTTGAGGAAAGAAATCCATTAAAAGTTATTAAATACATCGGCAAGACTTCTGGTGCAGGAGAATCAAAATCACTGTGTCTGTCTCTTCCCTTTCCCTCAGTCACTACATTCTTGCCGTTTTATTATTTTTTCTGAGTTACCTGCTGTTTCAGAAAGAGCCAGTTCTAGATGGATCCTTAGGCCCATCCTCTGCAACAATTTGTACCTTAAGTGCAAGAGAAGCTTCAGAGTGAGAGTCAATTGTAAAGCAGCAGCACAAACAGAATTTTCAGTGTGAGTACACATACAGCAATCTCTCTTTGGCTTAAGTCAACTTGAAGAAAACTATTCTTGATATGCCCTAGTGTGAGATCACACTAAGGCATACTTCCTCCCCTCAGGAACAACACAGTCTACCAGAAAAGTCAAAGGAGGTAGAGAAAATGAATAATTCTATAGGAAAAATGCTTAGAAAGATTTAGTTAGGACTGTGGCAACCATTGGATTGGTTTTTTAGAGTTAAATTCAAATAAACTGATTTATGTAAGCATTCTAACAGCTCAGGGAGAATTCATTCTGCATTGCTCTTTCTCAGACTGGTTGGTTCCTATACTATGAAATAAACTTTTTTTTTTTTTTAACTGAATAATTTCAAAAGAAATCAATACAATATATGCTTACGTCAGGGCATATAAAATGTCACTCAAGTTTACTCAGTCTGCTGATTATAAGTGGTTCCAAATTAAACTTCTAAGATGCACAGACATGATAAATGTGTCAGTATTACCATAATAATTATCACATCATTTTTTGAGATCTATTGATCCTTCAGCACTTCAGCTATGGCTTTAAACTTCAGGAATTCAAGCGACTATATTTTTGTAATCCTATTACAGAGACACTGCATCTTAAAAATTCTTTCTAAATACTTTGTTCAGCTGTTTTTCCTTTATGAAAACTTTCCTCTCTTTTATTTTACCTTTTTATTTTCTGAATAAAAATTTAACAGCTGAATGTACTTTTTTATGCTTATATTGTGTATTGATTATTCTTTGCCCTCAACCTGTTTGTGTTCTAAACATTAATAATCAAGATTTTTTTCTTTTACTAATGATTCTATCCATCTTTAATCCTTATGCAATAGAACCAATTTATCTTCTAAGCAAAGATACATATTTGTAGTCTTATGAAGGAGTTTTTAACATCCTGCACAAATCTGCCTATTGATTAAGTTCTACTCTAAGTAGTCTCAGAGAAGCTGTAGTTGAAAATGTCTTTAAAAATTCACCAAATAAGTGGACTGTAAGTCTTACTGCACTAATGCAGGCCAACAGTTGATGTCCTATTGTGCTAAATGCTTTGAAAACACAATGAAATTAAAGTTCTCTGAGCCAAACAATTTATGTTTAAAAGAGATGATACCTATCAGTAAGTGTTCCAAGAACAGATTGCTGGGTATCTAAAATCTGTTGCCAACCAATGCATTAACTGCCTTGGTGCTGTGCCTCAGGGCTGGAAACACTGTGTTCAGTGCTACAGTGCTTCATGAGATTGGCCAGGATGTTCAGGAACAACCATTTCTTGCTTTGGATCGGGCTTTTCTGTTCCTTGTGCAGGGAACATCTACACTGGAGGATGTTCTGATAAGTGTGAGAGGAGTGATAGAGGAAACAGTCACCTTACTTTCACTCTGTTGCTGCACAATTTGCTATGGACTGGAGTGGAATCTAAAGCTGTGTTCTGGCATCCGTCTTTCTGAAAAGGGAAAGAATGTTTGATATTTGCTTAGATCTTGAAAGTAATTGAAAGTAAATTAAATGTTTGAAGTGGGAAAAAAAAAACCAACAAAAACAAACATTGAGCAATTTAGGTTGCAGGAGCTGTGTGGAAATCATGCAGTCCAACTCCTGCTCAAAGCAGATACAGCCAGATCAGATGGCAATGGGTCTTGTGCATTCCAGTTTTAACTGTCTCCAAGAATAGAGATTCCACATCCTCTCTAAGCAACTTCTAATATTTGGCCTAGCTCATGGTGAAAAAAAATTTCCTTGTGTCTGGATTTTCTCCTATTGCATCCAGACACACATTCCCTCTGACCATTATCTCCATGCACCTCTGAGAAGAGTCTGGATCCATCATCTCTATAGGCTTCCTTTAGGTATTTGCATGGACCAGTATAGGCAAGTATGACAGTTTGAAAGAATTGTGCTGGAACAGAACCAAATAACAGTAAGTAACATCTTGGATGATTTATTTTTTTTGTTTTCTGCACAGATTCTAAAGGTTTACAGAGATTTCTGTACAGCCACTCCTATGAAAACCACAGACCAAAAGAAAAACTCTAAGTTTCAGTCTGGTCTTGTGCATAACAAGACCAGAAAAAGCCCAACTGAAATACCATAGGTGTCAGAAAGATATTTAAACTACTGTCATTGACCTGAAGAACATCTCTCTAATACAACCACTGAAGGCTATAGATTAAAACTTCCCCTGGAGGATTCTGACAAAAAATACAGATATTTGGGTTGGGTATGGAATGGGAAGGACACTACTGAAAGTGTAGGCACTGCTGCAGTCTGCAGAGCAGCCCAATCATATTATTGACAAAAAATCTTTGAGATACACCAAAGGTTTCAATAGTCCTTGTAGCAACTTGGCATCAGAAGGGACAAAAAGTGGTGTACAGCCCCCTCTCTGCCCTGTACTTGTTCTGTGGACTGCAAGTGTCAGAATGATTCACTGATTTCAATGACTCAGACTGATTGTCAGAATGATTTCAGTGGCTGACAATGATGTCAGTATTTCAAGAATAGTCTTCTGGGAAAGGAATCCACTTCATTTGCTTTCCCATAGAGATTTCACACAGACATTAAACCCGGAAATGTGTGTTATTTCAAGTATAAAAATCAAGGGAAAACATATGCGAACAATCCATCACATATGTGTTACATATCAGAAGAGAGGAGCAGTGCTTATCTTCCCCAGTGTCCCAGTTAGAGCTTACAATGCACAGGCAGAAAATATCATGGCATTAGTGTTCCTTGTGGAGATCAGATTTGATAGGTGTGACTGGAGCTGAAGCGCTCCATCTCTGCGTCAAAAGAAAAAGAGCCCTTTGAGACAAGTGAAGCAAGAAAATAAGATACTCCAACCAAATGATCTCTTCAAAGCAACCCTCTGAGAAAGATACTGGACCATGACTCCTATTTTTAGTGAGGAATCATATTGAAAGTCCAATGTTAATCTATTCTCTTGACCAGTTAATACCAAACATAATTAATGCTAGATGTTTATATAAAAACCCCAACAGCTGCAATGAGGTTTAGGGAGCTGCTGCAACTGGGCTTTGAAATGTCTGGGGACTTTTCTGCTTGGCTATTGATCAAAATCATAACATTTTGCCAAACTGCCTTTTGATCATGGAAATAAACTGTTCTTTCCTTTCCAGAGCTGTATCTAAACCACTGCTTGGAACATAAAATGCTAATATGTAGTTAATAAAACAGGTGATCTAAGAGGCAAGAGTAACACTAACTATTCCTATAACAAATGCTTAAGTGTTTGTGAAGCCCAGATATTTAGCAGCATTTGTTCATTATGTCCACCAATATTTTCCACCCTCCTTGCAATTAAAATATTCTGGGAACAATACACAATAATCTTCAAGCTTTCTGTACTAAGAATATTTGCTTATATATATATATATATATATATACATTTTTTTTTCTCAAACTCTTTCTGATTTTATGAATCATAGAAGTACTATTCCTTAGTGATTCTTGTGAAAATTCTCTACCTCTTACTTATTCCTCTTGTTCTAACAAGAAAATATCCAAGATCACTTTTTTGGTCAAAAACTTAGCTACTTCTGCTACTGAATATATCCAAGAAGACAATTCATTTGGCATTTTTTTCCAAGTTAAGTGCTTTTGGAACCTGGTGATTGAAGCTATCTCTTGAGAACATCAAGAAGTTTTTAAACTCAATTCACAGATCAGAGAAAAATGATGTCTCACTCTGAGAGTTATAATGATTATGAATTTGAGAATCAACTAAGATTTTACACATTATTGAGCCAATAATGATTAATTATCATTTTGTGTCCTTTCAGGTGGAAATCCTTGACTGGGAGACAAAGAAACAGCTATGCTTCCTAGATAAGGTAAAACAAAAATCTGCTTAAAATGCTAGGTGGCTTTGTTAGAAATTACTAACTTTTCTTAAGTAAATTTGGTGTTTATGAAGGATATTCCATCTCCTGGTAGCCTTTCCTTGCCCACTTGCAATGATTATGCAAACTTTATACTGACTACAGTGTCTTTTAACCCTTTTCCAGACGGAGGTTTTGAGCAAAAAGGAGAACTTCAGTTGCTTTACTAAGAGGGTGCCAGTTGTGTGGTACTCAGAAGCCATAAAATTGTCGCTGCTGTAGTACTTGGTCACTGCTAGAGAAGCTGCCTCTGAAACAGGCATCAAAAATTGTCCTGCCTTTTCCCTGTCAGTTCTCTGAATCCTTCATGCCAAGGCTAGACATCTGTAAGAAATAGTTACATTGTAGTCTTACACCTAGTAGTTGTCTTTCAAAATATGCATCTTATATGTACAATATTTTTGTTGCCTAGGTGGAACCAAATGCTACAATTAGAGAGATCAGATTGATGTTCCATAAATTATGTGAGTATAACTTCAGCAGCAGCAGCTATCACATCAGAATATCCAGTAAATAAATAGGAAAAATTACATAATTTGAAACACTGTATACACACACGTAATGCTGATAATCTCCACAAGAATGTGATCACAGTGAGATTTCGGTAAAATTATTTTATTCTGTCCTGATACAACTTTGTATTTTTTTCTGCTGCATAAATTATCACCTATATTAGTGTTAAATAAATGTTTATAAAAACCTGTAAATGAAGCTCATCTTGTTGTATTGTGTTCATTATAGTAGTGGATGATCTGAACTGAACATTGTGTATCACACAATTCTCTATGGTCTTACAGATCCCCGGTGGTACCCAGCAAGGCAGTCAATAAAACTTGATCCAAGTAAGTACTTGTGAGGTCTGCAGTAACAACTCTGAGCAGGGCCCTGGCATGAAAGGTGTACTTCAGGGTGTCAGCACTTAAGAATCTGTTTCCAGCTATGTTAATTAGCACTGTGAAGGCTGAAGAGAATCCAGAACAAATACAATTCTTTGGAAGTTCCACCCTGGTGCTTGGCAATTAACTCAGGAGTTTGCACATTGCTCCAATGCACTTTCTAACTACTGAGCACTGTTGCTTTCCAGAGAGACAGCACAGGATCTAGATATTCACTGCCCTGAGCTGCAGTGAAATGATCTCCATCATGATGCTCAGCTGAGAGTATCAAAAAGGGCTGTAAGTTTGAGCTATCAATTCACATAATCCTCTGTTCTCAGGCAGGAATTGCAGTTCTTTAGAGGGAAGCTAATGCAGAACCCATTGCTGTGGACATAGCAACTGCTGACAAAGCTGGTGACAGCTGGCTGATTTCATTAATACACTTGTAGGAATTGCTACTGGAAGCCTCTTACATGGCCTGAGTCCACAAAAGAAAAGTCTAGTTGCCAAACTGTGTTAATTCATCTTAGCTAAAATATAACACTTTCTTCCTTTGCTTTCATTAAGGATAGTTTTATTTAAACAGTGCCTTAAAGTATGCTGGTGAAGATTTGCTCATTGTGTAAAATCTATCCATGGAAAACAGATGTATGTTTATCTTGTTTCCTTCTTTGAAGGTCTCCCTTGTCAGATTCCTCTATGAATTTATGTAGTGAGACTTGGCATGAGAAAATGCTGGCCTTCTGGAGATTCCTCCAAATCTAGGCATTGAAAGCTCAAGTACTGTGGGATGGTGCTAGCTAGGAATCACCTCCTAGCTAGTTGTTTGGGAAAAGAAAAGCAGTGAAAATTTCTGTAGGAGAGTTTTCCAAACACAGCTTATCCTATCTTCTGTTTGTCTGATGATGAGCAATGAGAAGAGCAGAAGAGAGGAGAGAGGTGCAGCTGACTAGGAGGTCAGTGAACTCTGATAAAGAGCACTGCTCCATCAACAAATTCTGCTGTTAGCAGTGATGAAAAAAGTCTGCTAGACTAGGCAGGACATAGAATTGAGAATTCTCTTGACTGTTTTGGTGTGAATAGAGGATCCAGGCTTATATGTGATTACAGGCATAAATAAAAATTAAGTGTAAATATTCTTGATCTGTTTAATGAGATTTCAATAAACCCACATCACATCAAGGAGTCTCATAGATAAAGCACCAAATAAAGCTAGTATGCTACCAAAGTGGACTTGAATGTCGCTAAGATGTAATTACTTCTTTCCTTCTCAGAAGGAAAGTCCCTGAGGGATGAAGAAATCCTGCAGCACCTCCCTGTTGGCACAACTGCTACCTTATACTTTAAAGATTTAGGGCCACAGATAGGATGGACTACGGTGAGCTCTGCTTCAAGTCTGAGCCATTTTAATGGCTAGTTTTCCATAGTTAATCCTTACATCACTTTTTGTTTCTCTCCAATATTTCTGCATGATGTCTGCTCTGATATGGGTGCAGGCAATGAATCCTCATTGCTTCAGTTCATTTAATCAGGGAAAGCAGTAACAGATTGAATGCCTATTTAGTTCCCTGGGAGAGCAGCAGTGGAAAACCTGCTGCAGGGTAGGTTGCCTCTACAGAACTAAAATGCAGGTTGTCAAATGGATGTCTATTGTAAAACCATTAGAAACTAAGTATGTAAATGCTTTTGGCAATCTGCTCTGCAGGACTGGTGTAACTCCTGACAAAAGATTATACTCCTATCAGTTTGTCCTGCAAAGAGGCATGGGAACAACTTCACATGTCATTACTTGAAGTGACTTCAGCAAGAAAATGTATAAAAGTACAATTAATTGCTGTCTGCACGTGACTGTGTCCCAGGAGGCCAGTGACAGGCTAATGACAGCTGATAATTTCTGCACTATTAGCAGCCATCCTCAAAGACCTTGCATATTTACTGTCTTAGCTCAAATGCAAATTTTATCACAACTCACTTGGCAGGCAACACAACACTGCTGTTTATGCAGCGAGGTGACCAAGGACCCTTCTAGCTCTCTAGAAGGTCCTTGCTGCACAGTATTACACCAGTTCTAATAAACAGCATGATGTCAAGTACCTCGTAATTTAAAGGCATATTTACCATTTATTAGCTATGAGACATTAATAAAACCTTGTGTTGATTACAAATAGCAAAGACAATGTTAATAGGAGGTAAAATAAAAAAGTCAAATATGTTCTGCAAGACTGAATGTTTACTTTGGATGCAATGTGGATAAATCAAGCAGCTATTACTCAATCCAAAAAACCAGGAAGACAGACAAAAACTTCTAATGCCAGTGTAGACTTCAAGACACATGTGCATTAATATACACCAAAATATCACAGTGCAGAGTAACACCAGGCTTCTACCATTTCACAAACATTTGCATTCTGCTCTCCCTGCCCTTCAAGCTACTTCATTCAAATATAAGCCAATAAATATTTAAGTATTATCAAATAGAAAAGATGAGCTTCTCATCTACAAGCAAACCTGATCTTTGCATCAGAGAAAATGCTGATCATAACAGAAGTCAATATCCCAACTTTTTTGAGTTATCAAAATAACTCTAAACACATTAGAGAACTGGGATTGTTTGGGTTTCTTTTTTTGTTTGCTTTCTTTTGTTGTTGGGTTTTTGTTTGTTTGTTTGTGACAGAAGTACAATCAATTTCCCTTCTTTCTCTGTAAGTGAGGTATGGACCTACCTTCCTCACTTATAGATGGGTAGAAAATTCAGCTGTTAATATTTGGTCCAAAGTTAAGTTCAATTTAAAGTGATGTTCCTAAGAAATACACAACTATCTGAAATGAAATGAAGTTAGATAATAGGTTCTCTGGTTTCCTCTCTTTTTTTTTCTTTCTTTTAATTTCCTTCTAGTATTCCAATTAAAGCTTGTTTGAACATAGAATGAAATTATTGTTTCCCAGGACAACTGCTGTGCTAACTGTTCACACAGATGGGGTCACTGTGAATACTTACGAGCTGTGTTTCCAGTTTAAACAAAATTCATTCAGTAGAAGCAGAACTCCTATTTCTCAAGACAAATTCTTCACCAAATTTCATTTTAAACCAAAATAAAGCAACAGCTTTTGAGTGCAAGAGAAGGGTGAGAGCTGCATAAATGTAACATGCATGCATATTTGTCATGATCTCTGGGCTTCCATTATTATCTTTTCATGCCCTTACTGTGTCTGCTGCACTGGTAATGGCTGTTTGAATGCAACTGAGGCAAATCATTGCAAAATATTTATGTGCATGGCTACCAGTTTCCTAGCCTGAGCCCAAACCTTCTATTCCCTCCCTACCTCTCTTAATGCCATCCTGGATGCGTGGAGGTTTTTATCCCACTGCATTAGTTATCACAAAGAAACCAAAGCAAAACCATCATCTAATTCAGCTGTCTAATTATTTTCTCTCTTTTTACAGGTATTTTTGATAGAATATACAGGTCCATTGTTCATCTATTTTCTGTTTTATTTCCGCATGACTTTTGTCTATGGACTGGATGAGAGGTTTACATCAAGTCCACACCCAGTAGTTAAGTAAGTCTGTTTGCAGGCTTGAGCAGTGTTTCTTGTAGTCTTATTCCAAATGTCTTGACACACTTGGTTTTTTAAGCACTCTTAAATACTTTTGTCTTGCTGTTTCTAGCTTGGCATGTATCTGCCATTCTTTCCACTACATCAAAAGGTTGATTGAAACAATATTTGTTCATCGGTTCTCCCGTGGGACTATGCCACTGAGGAATATTGTGAAGGTAAATTGTGTCAGAATCTATCCATAGCTGCCCTTACAAATCCAGCCTAGCCAGCCTAAGCTCTGCCTCTGCAACCACAGACATTTTGTGTGGCTTTTGTAGCAAATCTCACCCATAAAGCTGCAGTTCTTTCAGAAGATTTCTTAATGTCACTGTTGTATAACCCACATGCTGCCATACTGTTACTAATATTACAGAAGTGTCATTACTTTTTAGAATTTTAAACCTTCGGCATACCCTTCCTTTTCACTCAGCTAGGTCCTTGGGTGTGAATGTTTTACTAACGAGTTAACTTTCAAGGTAGTACAGGCAGGCACAATGGTGGGAGAACAACTTTTAAAAAAATAAATAAAAAAAACAATTTTTGTAACAGTCATTTTATATCTACTTTGTCCCTAAAATTCTCTTTGCTGTTAAGGAACTGTAAATTTACCTTTGATCCAGTGCAAAGCAGCTTAGTTGTTCTGCATTTTCTTCTCCACAGGAGCATTCCTAATGTCATCAGTGCTGCTGTGGCACAGAGCAGCTCTTGGGGTGCAGATTCTGTTTTCAGGGTGTCTGAGAAGTAGTACAGCTTATGCATGGTTATGCATAAGCAGTAGTTATTTTACAAATATTTGCAACAGAGAACACATTAGTAGTCAAAAGTACACCTTATTCTAATGAAGACAAGAGATTACCTACTGGAAAAGCATTTGGGAATTCTAACATTTGGGATTTAGAAGGTTCCTTGTAATTTGCACTGTGGCAGTGAGACTTGTAGCAACTGAAGCTTAGCTTTGTGGCTAACTCCTTACAGCTGTCCAGTGGCTCTGGTCTTTCAGGTGATAGCTTCATGCTTTCAGGAAAGGAGGGTCTATAGTGGAGCAGTGGCCCTCCAAAAGAATCCTCTCTAGAAATTTATTGTGCTTCCTGCAGCAAGAGTAGTTAAAAGGTTTGCAGATCTCATTCTTGACACAACAGATCTTGCAGATCTCTTGTTCTTGACACAACAGTAGCTATTGCATGCTAAACAGCAGATAAACGAGCAACTTTACCTTGAAAAAACAAGTGTGATCATTTTTTTTCTCACTGCCATCTAGGACAATTACTTGTTCCTTTCAGACCATACAAGCTGTTGCTGTTAAAATTTACATTTATACCAGTCATTCTGATCACTTCCTCTTTTTCATCTTCTCAAGTTGGTGGCACTTGCTTTCACCTGTAAAGCTGCTCACAGTTCTTATTCTACCTGCTTAGCAATGCTTGGTTTAATTTGCTTTTATAATTTCATTTGCCTTGGTGGTGTTACTCCAAAATTGTGCCAGTGCAAAAAAACATCACAACATCTTTTTTCTGTTTTTCCATCACATACAAGTGGTAGAAAAAACTTCTTGCTTTCAGGGTTTGATCACATACACAGCAGATGTAGATAGCTTATTTTCTAAGTGCAGTGGAATGCTATGTGTGCAGGAGACTTCAGTCTCAATAAGCAGAAATCTGAGATGGGAATTGATGAGAGATGTGATTTTCAACCTTTTCTCCCAAATGGAACTAGGAATAAATTATGCCCTACGATGCAGCCGCTTCACCAAGAGCAGAGCATACTAACACAGTATAATTTTTCTAAGATATGTGATTTTTCTAGGTATTGGAAAGGTAGAATACCTGATTTATCTGAACCTAGTGAACAACTCCTTAGGGTGAATAAGATAGGGATTAATACAAAAATTGTGTGCTGAGAAAGGAACTAACTGAAAGAAAGATAATTATGGTAGTACCAAAAAAGAAACAGTCAGTCCTTTAATAATAGGGAAGTATCAGTAGAATTCTTCAAATATTAGTCTCATGATTGGTCTTACATGGTCTTTCTTTACCCATGAACATTTTTGTGAGTAAAAAGAAGGGATATCATAAATTTTTAGAAAAAAATCTGGAGGAAAGAGAACATTAGATCTAAATAAATACTATTTAAACCAGAAGACAGTATAAGAAGAAAAACAGAAGGGTAGATTCTGGCAATGACAGAATTAATTAATAATAAACAGAGGCAAGATATGAAGAACTATGCATTGTCAACTGCAGTAGAGAAGACAAACGTACTCACCATAAGTTTGGAAACTTAGGAATAATTTATTTATGGGATCCCTGCAGTATCTGAATTTGACCCACAGCATTCTAAGAGATTGTTGTAAAGCTTTATTATTCAAGATTCACAGAAACTCTTTCTTCCTTCCAACTGAGTTTATAAAGTCTGTATGTTCCTATCTAGATTTCACTGGAGATGTTTGTATGAGCAATAAGGATTCAAGTGGCAGCTGGACATTTAAAAGTGTAACTGTTAAGGTGCTTAGCAGTGGTAGACCCCACTCATCCTAAAGCTCCTTTTCTTAAAACTGAGAAATACTCTTGCAGTAAATCATGTTCTTTGGCTGAATAGCATTTGTTCAGTTTAATTACAGCATGTATTGTTGGGGACTGAGCCATGATAATTAATTTAATTTTACTTCACTGAAATCCATTGCAATATGTTCCATTCTGTGCCAAGTCTTGAAGCTAGGAAAAGGTTTTTTTCTGAAGACGCCATTCCAAGATTACAAGAAACTGTTTCCACCTAAGTTTGTACAGCAGTCAGTAAATTGTAAGTGCCTGTTGAAGAAGCTAGTGTTAGGGAGAAAGCAGTAGTTTATGGATAGGACACTACCCATATTATCCCTCACTGGAATAATTTTTTTGGTTCTGCTGCATTTCCTGGGGGAAAATAAAGTCATCACAGGGAAGCTATTTATTTTTTCTGCTCATTCATCCCACCTGATTTGTAATTACTGGTTAATAGTTTACTCTTATCAGTTATCTCTTATACAATCTCAGAGCAAGGACATACTAAGTGCTCACAATTCAGCAAGCCCAAAAGGGTGTCTGAGGTCTCTGGGCACTGTTGTGTTCAATTAACCCTAAGAAGAAAGTGGAAATGCAACAGAATGTTTGGTACAGCTGCTTGCAGCAGATGAAGGGACACCAGCATTTTCAGAAAAATGCACCATCAGACACTGCAGTCAGCTAGTGCAGGTTGGAGACGCTGAGGTAATCACTTTTCCAGGGTATTATTGCTAGAAATGCAGTTAGTTCTGGTATATATAGGGGGAAAAGACTGCAAAATTCAAAGCAAAACAGAAAAGTTAAACCAGTCAGGACAGCAAAAAAATGCAGCCTTGGATGGGATTTTTGCCTGTGTGAGCAGGAAAGGAAATGGTGAAAGAGAAAGCAAAAACACCTAGAAATGTCTAAGGTATAGGAACCTATCTGGAAGTCCAAGAAAAAGAAAGGACCAGACAAAGAGGACCTTTACTAGAAAGAGTAAGAGGATCGAAGTTTTACTCAAAATTGAAAATAGGAAGGAAGGAAAGATAAGGCAAAGAAAAGAACAGAAGAAGTGGTGAAAGAAAAAGAGCTCAGTTGTGGTCTTGCTGAAGTCCAGGTGATGAACAAACATAGCCTGATACATCAAAAACTGAGGCACTAGGTTGGGTGAAAGAAGACTCAACTGATGAGAGGCAAATGTATGAATTGTTGATGAGGGTTAAAGTGTCCGCAAGGGAACAGCACCTAGAGGTTAGAGCACAGAGCAAGAAGAGGAAGGGACCAAGAAAGGGCCTCCCTCCCACCTATATATATATAAGGAGGGAGACAATAACATGTCACCAAAGCAGTAATGAGTGTCAGAAAAAACCCACAGGAGGCAGAGCCAAGGAGGCAAAATAAGAGGTAAAGATTGTCATTGTAAGTAGTTTTTTCATGGATGAAGCCTATGAACAAGCACTGAGATTGGTCAGGAATGAGTCAGTACAGCCATTAGTGACAGCTGTGTTATCAGAGCTTAGAGAGGGGAAACTGCATCGCAGAAACACAAGGACAGCAGAAAAAGGGACAAACTGGAGAAATAACAGTGAAAGTACATCAGGAAAGCACCAGGCAGGAAAAGTTAAAGCATGGGAAAGAAAAAAAACTGATGGGGTGAAGGAGAAGAGGACAGGAGATTGAGCAAAATAATAAGCAGACAAGAGAGGACAGTACCCAAATCTGGTTTTACAGTCTCAGGGCTCAGCAAAACAAGTTTCTCTTTAACATACAGTCTGTATGCACTTCAGCTTTGCCCAGTGGCTTGCCAGACAAGATAATTTTGTTTTAAGTCATATGATCATACTTTCTAAAACTGTTTATAAATTTAACAGCTCGAAGATATTTCAGAGGTAATCTTAACTCTACCAGCACCATTTCCTTTCTTATTTCCTGTTACCTGCTCCCACCTGCCACACTTAGTACTGCCATTTGTTGTTGTATTATCAGCAAGCTGAAGGATCCCAATTAATTGTTATCAACAGTCCTTGCAGTGAATATTGGCCTAAAATACTGTAGTAAAACAAAGAATAATTACTTATTTTTCAGAACTGCTTATATTACTGGGGATTTGCAGCTTGGCTTGCATATTACATCAATCATCCTCTTTACACTCCTCCTTGTAAGTAACAAAACAACCCTCAATGATGTAAGTATTTATGTATGTACTTGTGTACTAATGACATGCAAACTTTCTTTTTCTAATAGCTTATGGGAAAAAACAGATAAATTTTGCTGTCATCATGTTTCTGGTAGGTTTCTTGCTTTTTCTATAAAATGCTAAAATATCTTGCTTTATTTCTTCTGTCATGTAAGTGGAGGAGTGAGTAGGATAAGCAGATACTTAGAACTTGGACATTTGGGATGTACTACTAAAGCTGACCACTTGCATGCAAAACAGATAAATCCATCAGTTTGTAATGTGATTTTGTACACAAATTAATAGCTTGGTTTAGTGTCCATTCCAAGACTAGGATATTTATCTGCTGGGGTGATCTTCCATAATCTTTGTTTAAATCTGTGTTTAAAAGCCAGTAAGTTTGTTGTGTGAACTGTTTATTGAGTGCTGAGAATCACAACAGACCATAAATCTCAGAGAACTATCCAACTAAGGGAATATGTTGCTGATAATTTCCAGTGATAAAGTTTCATTTTGCTGAGCTTCAAAACCTGCTTACAGCTTTCTTTATGATTCAAAATTCTTCAGTCACTGTTCATTCTGACAATTCATTCTGAGATTTCATACATGCAGAAGCAAAGTCAGTGTAGCCAATAAATATGTACCATACAAAGACTTTTCCTATGAATGTGTAACTTACTTAGAACATCAGATGTTCACTAGCTTTGACAAACTAATTATCAGTGACTGCAGGATCCCAAAGCAGCTTCCCAGGATGAAATTCTGTGAGGTCATAATCTATTCATATTTTATAAAGAAACTCCACAACTGAAAGCACAGAGCTGGGAATAAAACTCAGGAGCTCTGACCACTAGTCATTTGCTGTAACAGATATGCACTGCAGACGCTGGAGACTGTCCATAATCATATAAATGGGTCATTTCAATACACTCTCTTCATTAGTGATTGGGGGAAGCTGTCTTTAAAACCAGTGAAGGAAGCTGGGTCAATTATATTCCATGATTCCTGTCAATTATACTCTAGAGAAGAAAACTTACTTAGAGACCAAACTGTATCTTCCTTGGGATTTCAATAGCTTTTGAGAAACCAGGACTATGCAAATAATTTTGTGGATGTTTTTAAAGCCGTAAGAATGATCAAAAGATAAAGCAAGTAATTCCCAAGTTCACTTCTATCCCCTGTGGTTTATTTTGATTTCAAGGGGATTATGTAAGTAATAAATTTGATCTTTTGGACATGAAGTCCACATTTTCTGGAAAATATAAATATATAACAGAATATAATATGGTCTCATGTTTGATTTGTTTCATCCTTCTGTCAGCAGTCTTAGTTAAGGATATTTATTATGTTTATAATTATTTTCCTTTTCGTAAATATTTTAAAGAACCCCAGGAAATAACAAAAGGAAGAAAAACAAATAGAAGGGAAGAACACTTTTAACTTTGTCATACTTTTTCTTGCAGCTGTGTGAAGCTGGAAATTTTTCCATTCATGTTGCACTCAGTGACCTCCGGAGGAATGGTAAAAACTGCATGATCATTTTTCAGTTTTGTATGGCCGTTCAGTTCTCCTTCAGTTACTCTGCTTCAGGAAAGACCTGATCCTGGGGGGTGTTGATACTTGTCAGCTGACTGCTGTGGGAGCACAGGTTGCTCAGCACTGTAAAGATTGGATTCTAAGGGAAATGAGGCATTGCAAGGATTCTGATATCAGACTGTTGAAACACACATCCTATTTTTATCTTTATTGTTTCGGGCTGGGTTGTGCTGGGGGAGCAGTTACATTGGTTGTACTGCCAGTGCAAAAGGAAACAGTGCTGCTATAAGCTATGTTTGGTGAGCAAGGGAAAGTTCCCTCACAGGTATCCTCTTCCTCTTGTGAGTCCAGAGGACATCCTGTCTTCCCACATTCTGTTTGTCCCTCTGACAGTCATGAGACACAGAAGTAGACAGAACTGGGTTGTCTTTACAGGAAACAATATATTTAGGAGTGTGAATATTTTGTGATTTGTTTTCTAATCTATAGGATCCAAAACCTGTAAGATCCCATATCCAACAAAGAATCCTTTCACATGGCTGTTTTTCTTTGTATCTTGCCCTAACTATACATATGAGGTATGTATTTTCAAACAAGATGTTCAGATTTCAGTTTCTCTGAATCGATTTTTGTTTCTTTTAGAATGTTTTACATGTAAGAAACCTCTGAAACTGTTCAGCTCAATACATTTCCCTTCCTTCCCTAAACCCCATGAAATCAGGTTGTGGACAAGAATTTGTCTGCTCTTCCTTCCCTCCCTTGGGTCAGTAGTGGTGTGAGTAACCTTGCACAGACAGCCCTAACCCTGGGCCAGTGCTCCCGTGTGGCTGTCAGACATGACATACACTGTAAAGCAGAGCAAATTCTGCAGCCAGGAACAGGAAAATTACCACTGAAAATGTGTTGCAATGAAGGGATGGAGGTGTCTGGTGGATTTATAACATAAGAGCCTAGAAATATCACTGCAGGCAGGAAGATAGTGGTCAGACAAATAAAATATATTGTGATAGAGAAAATAAGACAAAGTCTTCCCCGTTTTCTTAAGGTACACAATCACTTGTGGTGGTGGTGACTGCTTTAGAGATTTTAATCAGTTTATCATTTTATGCCCCTTAATCAGGAGCTAAACTTCTGACTGAGTTCAAAAGCAGATGAAGTCAGTGCAACTCAGTGTAACATTCATTCTTGCACAGAAGGACAGTGTCAGGTTTGAAATTCAGTGGAGATCAACGGATGTTAATGAGAACAGCATTGGGCCTTGGACATAGAAAGTTACTATTCCTAACGGTGATGGAGGTCTGATGAATACAAATTAGGCAGAGAAAGGGGAAGGACACTGTTTTAATGCTTAAAATTTTGTCATTGTAATAGCTGTGGAAGGAAATATGAAGGTTTTGTTTGTGATAATAAGGTACTGTTCACCTTTTTGGCTAAAGGTTATTAACAGGAGAAATTGATCTGGCTGACCTTGATTTTTTTATTTACCTATACTAGGACAAGGTTATTTTGATCAATAGAGAGATAAATGCAAATGCTGTCACCAGAAATATTTTAAATTTCCTTGGCCAAAACAGGTGGGGACCTGGATCAGTTTCACTATCATGACTCAGTGTGTTCCAGGTGAGTAATGTTTTGGTACTTCAATCTGAAGTGATGTCAGCAGCAAGAGTATGTTTTTAATCTGATTATGAAATGTATCTTTTTTCCCTTCCTTCCTTCCAGTGGGACTGTTCACCTTGCTTTGCTTCATTCAGATGACAATCTGGGCAAAGGATAAACATTGCACCTACTTACGAGAATTCAAGGATTATCCAAGTCATAGAATGCCAATTATTCCCTTTTTGTTGTAAGAAAAGAAGGCTCAATTTGAATATTGCACAGAACTTAAAGAAGAAAAACCTCATAAATGTCCTCCCAAATAAATGAATTAATTAAAAGGATTTTGGTGCATGTTGAATCTCCACTACTAAGGGAAATTGTATGCACTTGAAAGCTAGACTTCCTTACGTTCAAGAATTCTCAACTCAGAAGCACCTTAAAAAATAAGGCTTCATTGCACAGCTGCAAAAAAAGCCCCTGCAGTTCACTGTAACCTGCCTTAGATTTTTCTGTACTAGTCTGTTTAGGTTGATGGATCAGAGATCCTGAGAAGTCTGTGCTGAAAAGCAGCTCTAAATTTAGCAGTGGCATTCTGCAAGACAGAAGTACATTGGAACGAGGACACACCAGCTAGCTACAGAGCTCGGTTCAGCCAGCATGGCCAGCTGGCCTCAGGACAGTTGCATGATCTGCCTTCTTTGACTTGAAGAGAGTGTGCTGCCTGGAGGCAGGTGCTTTGTAACTGATAACATTACCAAAGAATATGAGTGGTTTCTGGAATAAAGAAATAGGCAATATCTCAAAAACCTGATCTGGGTCTAACCCCTAATTTGCCAAAAGAATCTGAAGTAAGAAGTACTTGTAGTATTTGTGAATGTAATATCCTGTGCTGGGTTTTTTTATTTGTTTTTGGTCTTCTTCATTAGTAAGTTGCATACTAGTAAATAAGATTCAGAAGCAATCTAACCTATGCCATATCTTTGATATCTGGTCTGTTTTGATATAATATCTCCTTATGATACTAATTGACCTTTAACCCAGAATTTTACATCAGGCTTATCTAAGTAGTTTTTAATACACTTTGTAAATACATGAAGTGACTGCTAGTCCTCAGAATGCTCTTCCTATTTTCAGAGCCAGGGAGAAAAATGAGCTTCATTTTGGACTTCCTGTGTTTTCTTTGTCACTGGATGTTCTGGACTTAGTTGGGTTTTTTGTAAATCTAGTTAAAAAAGGCTATTGAAATCTATCTGAATGACATTTTAAAGAAGCTATTTTAGAATATAAAGAGAATGCATAGATACTGTTTTGTTTCATAATTTATTTATCTATAATAGATGTATAGAAAGATTTTTGCAGCTATTTGTAAGGGTGAAATATGCAATAAATTCTATTTGAAAACCAGTTGAAATAATTATGGCAAAAAGAGAAGGCTACAGCTGATTGCTGAAGTTTCACAATATTTTGTACAGTACAAAGCAAGAGTGTCCTTATAAAAAAAAAAAAAACTACATCAATTGAAGAAAAATATCTTTCAAAGCAAAAATACATGACCCAGATTTTAATTCTGTATAACATATCTTAGAGAAGATTTCTTGGAAATTATTAGATCTGATAGATAACTGAAGCAATACATCATTATGAATTTGTTTTCAGTATTGTTTTTCCACTAGTTAAACTGTGAACCAGAAAAAAAGGGCTAAATGTCAAATGATTTCCCACTGAGTGCAGTGTGGAGTACAAGCAGGTTGAAATTTTCCTTCTGAGGAGGTAGAAAGTACATTCCCTATTCACACTTTACACCCACTTAATGTCCAGTCACAGGAAAGAAGAAAAATTTGGGCTTGTTTAGTAACAAAAAGATCTTTCCATGTCTCTACAAGAACACAAAACTTTTGGCAGATTTGAACATACTCTCTTTCTTTTTAATCTCCATTTTGACATTTGGCCTCTATTTGAGGCAACTTGAAGATGAGTATGAGATCATTTTAATTAATTTATTTTTAAAAGCAAGTTTCTTGTCTGGGTCTGAGCTCTGAATTAATTCTTTTCATTCTTGCTGAGACAACCGTCTGTTGACACTGGCAGCCTGGTGAGACAGTGAAGCAATCCCCCAGGACCAGCCCCATCAGCCAGCACTGTTCTGACCTTGATAGTCCCGTGCACTCGGCATGACAGGAATGTGCTTCTAAGCTGGGCAATGCTCTCAGCCTTGGGACCTGTCTGCTGACTTGTAGCAGTGGACATAAGGGTTAAACAAGAAAAACCCGCCAGCCTGAAAGTACCAGAAAGAGAGTCCATCTTTGATGTTATTTATATGTCAACAAGGAGGAATGAGATTTCTTGTATCTTATAATGGACTTTATGTTAGAGGAAGATTTCATTCTATAGCAAGGACCTGCCTTTCCTTTGACAGTGTTAGCATGTAGTGTTACTGGTAGAGCAGTAGAAGTTGGCTGTTGCTAGGGCTGTTGTTGAGAGCACAGTGCTCAGAAAGGTGCAAAACAATCAGCGTAATACTGAGTGTGCGAACCTTTGTTTTACCCTTGCTCTGCTCTGGTATGGCACCTGTTTGCACCGTGCAAACACGAAGCCTGGAGGCTGCAGGAGCAGTCTATGCGACTGCAACTGGGGACACCCTGGCTTCTCGGCTGGCTCCAGCTGCACGCGGATGCAAAGGCATTTCCTCATCCTCCATCTGCTGTTTAGCAAAGTTCACAAAAACCTGTGTGAGGAAAGCAGAAAATGTCACCGTGTCTCCAACTGAGATGAGTTAGTGCTCTGCAGGAAGCAGACAGAAAGGGGAATCCACAGACATCAACTGAACTGAGACACTGCATTATCAGCTGGGATCATGAGTTCCTCCTTTATTTTGATAAACTTCCTCGTGACTTCCTTCCTTGCAACTTCCTTCCTTTGGATGTACTTGCTTGCAAGTAAAATCCTACTTTTTCTTAAGGAGGATATGGCTTCAGCCAGGTTTGCATGGTTTGCAGAGCATGAGTTTGGTTGTGATAGGAAAGAGGAGACAGAATATTTTAGTAGGAAGCTGAAAGGCAGCCAGGAATGCCTCTCTAGCAATCTCACCAAAAACAGCTTTGCACATGTGGACCCTTTGTTACTTAGGAAAGCAGACAGAAGGGGCCAATACCCTCAAGCAAGTGGGTGTTTTCAAAACTCCCACTGGACTTCCCAGGTTTTGTGTGTCTAATTGCTTCTTGCAGTATCTTTGACACAACACAGTCCAAACCTCTTATTTAAAATAAAGTGCTATTCTCAGCTCAGTCTCATTCCAAATTGCTGACCTTGCTCAGACTGCTGCTCCTGAAGGAACGGGTTGTGTGAATTCTGTAATGTGGGAAACACTGTCTTACCAGCTTTCACATGGCACCTATTTACACAGGGAATAAGTTACTGGTTCATACTGATACACCTTCCTTGATGAGAGGACTGGGAATCTTGCCTTAGAAAGAGGTGTGAGATAATTCTCTAAACAATTTGGTCCTTTGCTTGTTTGGATACATCCCCATTATGCTGCCTAATTCTCACCAGACAGACTTTCTCATGGATGTTTTATTTTACTCACCTGATCTAATGTTGTTTGAGACACAGAATATTCTTCAATATGCAAATTTTCCTTATTGGAGATTATTAATCGAAAAATCTTAGCCAGAGAGGAAGAACAAATCTGATACTGCAGCATGTTGTAGTGTTTCTCTCGCTGTAAACTCCCTGGGAAGTTGATGCGTATGAATTTCTCAGCAGGAGCAGGATCTGGAGGCAGCCCAGACTTTGGAGCTTTGATTTTCAGAGTGACAATGTAGCCATCTCCAAACCTGGGCAAAGGACATGTGGATTTAGGAATTGGGTGAAGAGGTTGTTTCATCATTCAGGAAGGAAATTACTTTTTTTAAGCTATGAAAACAATAACAGTATCTGAAAGATATTGCACAAGATCCAGCTTTTTAGGAAGACCTGCATTTGCCCTGCAGAAGTGGTATGCAGCATAATAGAGTTGAAATGAGATCTGGTCAGACAGTCTAATATACAACACAGCTGCACCCAGAAATAGGTCTGGTTAAACGTTGAATTGCTTGTATTAAGAATAGTACATGTCACATACATGAAATTTTCCCATTAAAAACCACCATAAAAATATTCTACCTACTTGTATTTCAGCTCCTGAATTGTGCCTAGGCATTTGAAGGTACCTTGTACCATGATGGCTAAACGAGTACAGAGGGCTTCACATTCTTCCATGCTTTCAAAACAGAGAACAGATATTTGAGATAAAAGCTAACAGATGTACTTCAGCTGCTTTCAGATTCTGAGTTCTAACTGTTTTTACCTGTGTGAGGTTAGAACCACCGCTCGCCCATCTCTGAGCACACCAACGATAGAGTCCCACAGGAGGCGCCGGGACTGAGGGTCCATCCCAGTAGTCGGTTCATCCTATAAGGGGAATGTTAAGGCAATAAAATAGGTATAATTTATTTAGAACCAGGTCATTTTTTGGGCCACAGCATGTAATTGCTTCTTTACAGTAATCTGTGCCTTGAGAAAGCACATAGACCTTGAGAAGCATAGGAGTGAGTGGGTGCCAATGGAGTTCTTGGCACAAAGCAGTAAGGAAACAAGTGCATGGACTGTGGGTAAGAATACAGTGCTGCCTGCGTAGGGCACAGCTACAGGGAAGGGGGTGCCTTTTCTGGGCAAAAAGGAGCTCTCGCCAGGTCATCTTACTTGCATAAACATATAGGACATTGTTCAATCCAAGAAACCAGTGAAGTCACTCTGATTTATACCACCTAAGGATTTGATCCTACATAAACCAGCTAACCCAGCAAGTAAATAATAATAATAAATAAATAATAATAAACATATAAAATAAATAATAAAATAAAAAGATAATAAACAATAAAATAAAAAGAATAAATAAAATTCTGATAGAAAAAATTTCATTGAACATTGGGTCTTAAGAAATTATGAGAAAACATTTTATCTGACTGTTTACTACAGGCAGAATATATGTAAAGGCATATTAAATGGTACAAGGAACCAGCTACTAGAATGTATTAAAACACTTCTTCATAGGCTTTTGTAAAGTAAAAATGACTGTGTCTGAAACTCATAGACATACAAATTAAGGTAGTGAAATATAGTCTAAATAAAGAATTGCTGTAGTAATTTAATATAGAATTTCCTTTTAGATATGCAATTATCTGATCACTTCTTTTATCTGACAAGAACTACATTTCAGCATTTGTATAGTTTAGTATAAATTTGTATAATTTATTCCAAAGATATTAATGGCTGGAAAAGGTAGAGGGTATCTTCCTCTGTTTTGCTGGCTAAAGCAGCCAGGTGTATATGTTGGAAGATCATCTTTCACATCAGTGGCTACACTCTGACAAGAAAAGGCAGACTGAAACTAAACTACAGTTTAAATTCAGATTTTTCTGGATTATAGATTTCATCTCAACATATTCTGTTTTGAAGATCTTTCTTTTGTAACCACTTGGGGTCTGCTGGAAACATAGTTATGCATCCCAGACGATGCCTGAAATTAAGTCAAAATTACACTGAAATAGCTCTAAGTTGAGGGCAGAAAAGAGCTTGCAAAGATTTTGTAGCTCTTTAGCATGTAGTGCTATGAGATGTTGTATTGAACCACCCAGGGCTGCGTTTCCATGACACTTACCAGCAAGATGAGTGGTGGGCAGCCTATCAAGGCAATGGCAGTGGAGAGCTTGCGCTTGTTGCCACCACTGTAGGTCCCTGCCAGCTGGTCTGCGTACATAGGAAGTCCCAGCTTCTGGATGCCCCATTCAGCAACCTGTGAGAAAGACCATCTGTTTCACACAGCAGCTAATGCAGAACAGACAGGATTGCTGATGCACTTCTCTTCTGGTAGAACATGATGGTCCCCTGGGTTTTAGAACATTCATTTTAGAATTGGGCCAGGGAAGTACAAAATGTTTATGATGATGATGAGGGGCATTCTAATTACGTGAGAGAAAGCCATAAAGCAGCCTCAGCTGTAGACTTCTATCTGTGCAAGAATTCAATTTTCTTTTTTTTTCTGGAATCTTCTTCATGTTTTCTTTCCTATACATATACAACTTAAAAGGCAAAAGCAAAACAGCAAGCATTGCCATTCTGAGACACAGAAATCACATCTTTAGCCTTCCATTGTTTTTGCCACAATTTGCAAAGTACCATTTATGCCTGAGAACCTGCATTTGATAGTGTGGTCTTGTTACTCAACTGTCCAAATGAGAGGAAGCACTCCCAGGACTTCAATACACAGAATTAGAAGTCCCCTTTGGAAATTCCGGCCCTTGGCATGTTAAGAGCACAGTTAATTATCACAAATATCGCTGTAACTATCAAAAGCAAGACTACTTTACCCTCTTGATTTCTTCTGCTGGAACCCCCCGCAAGCGTGCATACAAATAGAGGTGTTCTCGTCCCGTGAGCAGGTCATCAATGGCATCAAACTGAGGGCAGTATCCCATGTTTTGATGGACATTAGAAATGTGGGTCAATATACTGGAGAAACAAAGAAAAGAGTTGTAGTTCTGTAACACTAGCTCTAAAACAGAGAAGAACAGTTTGAATAAAATCCTTATTTTCTGAGGCAACAACTTTTGTAAGATGAGAATTAATTCTTCCTGATGAAACATGCTATGATGATATCTGTCTGTACATAAGAGCAAGGAGTATATTGTTGTCTTAAGTCAGCTCAGTCCTGGTTAAGAGTGTAAGCCCATTTCCCCTCACCCATTTTCTTGTTGAAGTATAGACTAACTTGAGAGAATTTCTTTAAACAGCCAGTTGGGTTTATTATTTTTTGAAAACAGTGTTTATATCTAGAAGAAAAGAAGCTCAGAATATGGTCAGTAGCAGCAGACAGGCAGGACACAAGGCTAACACTTCAATGGTAGTAGGAAAAGTACAAAATCACAGAATGGGTGTGGTTGGAAGGTGGCTCTGGAGGTTATCTTGTCCACTGACCCTGCTTGGGCAGAGTCACCTGGAACAGGGTGCCCAGGACCATGCCCTGACAACAAAAAGTTATTGTTCAAATCACATCAATGGACAAAGAATTAAATCCAACTACACTTGACAAGCCAAGGCACACAATCTGGAAGTAAACCAACATAAGTGCATACCAGACCACACTGTAATAACTTATGACATTATGCCAGCACTGTGTAAACAAAGATGCTAAAAACAACCAGAGAAAGGTCCCAAAGCTCAGATCAAAATACCCTGTTGGATGGGTTATGTTATGTTTGGGAGCTCTTGCCACTGGGTATGATTGCCTCGTCCCACTGTTGGCACTACTACAACTTATCCACAGATTTTGCAAGTGTTAAAGGTATCAAATGCAATTGTGTGTTAGCTGTGATCTCAGCGCCATAGAGCTGCTGGATCATTGAGACTGTGATCTGGACAGTTCTATGCTGGTAAATGGACTGCCACAGAGGTTTTTGTAAGGCAGCTTGCTAACTTTTTAAAGTTACTTACCTATTGCCAGCCACTACAGCATCTCCAGATGTCACATCAGTATCTCCAGTCAGCATTTTGAATGTTGTTGTTTTGCCAGCGCCATTCACTCCCAAAAGGCCAAAGCACTAAATTGAAAAAATTATCATATTCTTTAATATTTCCAACTTGCAAATCAGTGGGGGCATAAAATCTGAACTGATCCATGGAATGTAATCCAGTGTTATTGAACAACCTACCTCTCCGGGACGGATGCCAACACAGAGTCTGTCCACTGCAGGCTTGTGTCGACCTGCATAAATCTATATTGATGGGGAGAGAAAAAAAAAAGTAAAATTCCTATTTCAAGACATCTACAGAAATGAAAATCATCTGAATTTTTGGTTTAGTTTAATGTTATTGGGATGAAGCAACTTTAGAACTGAGACAGGACTAAATATTTTTTTCATTCTTCCAAAATATTACCTTGGTCAGTTCTTGTAATTGTAAGATATCTGTTTTGTTTCCTCCATTCATAATTCTTTTTCTTTCTTCTGCAACATCTTCATCTTCATTAATAATAGGTGACATGTCAGTCTCAGCAAACCTGGAAAAGCCCAAGATACTGACTGAGTTGCCCTGGGTTTAGTCAGAATAACAGTGTGGAACAATGGCTATTCTGCTGCCAAAAATGTGACTGGTGGAAGCAGTGGGGTTGAAACTTCACAATGTGACATTGGCTGGAGTATTCCTGCTGTTGGGAGAAACCCTGACCTTTGAAGTTAATCTCTAGTTACTAAAAAGGGAGGAAATGGCTTGCTCAAAAGAACATGCTTTGTTGTGAAATGTCACTGATATGATAATAACCTGCCCCCTTTAGCCACAGCTTTCACTATTTGGCTACTCTTAGTTCCTAATAATGGTCTTTAGAAGTAAAAGTTTTGAGTAGATCTCTCTGCAAGACAGTATTTTTATAATTGCATCAATTAGTACTCTTGTCAATCTTGAATGACCCACTCACAGGTGGTAGGTAGCTGTTTTCATCAAGGGAGAGGCACATTTGTAAAGCAGAGAGGGGAAGTTTACACAATGTCCTGATTACAGCTGTCCTGTGCCACAGACTAGAATTGCTATCCTGGGATGTCAGGCTAGTACCTCATGGTAGTAGCTAGTACCTAGCCTGACTGGTACTGAGTACACTACAGACTTTCCAGGTAATTTTATGATCTCACTATTACATTGTCTTAAAACTAAAAAAATTACATTAAAATCTAAATTCAAGAAAATGAATTCTTTAATAAAATATTCTTAAATCCTCTTAAGATAATGCAGATTTGTAAATGCTTTCTTGAATCAGGATATCAATAAGATAAGATCAGGTAAGTAAATAGAAAACAAAAAAAAGCTATAAATTTAGAGAAAAAATAAGAACAAGAAGATAAGGACATAGAGAATAACAAAGATAGTAATCCTTTTAATAAAGGAACATTAATAGAACTTTTAGACATACCATCTTGTGGAGCACAAACGGTGCTGCATAAAGAGATTCAGAAAGAAGAACACAACTCCTTGAAGAGCCATGGCAACTAGGTTCTTTCCAACGAAGTTCCACTGAAAGGGATCAGAAACATGCTCCTCACCTTTGGAGAAAGAGCACCAGAAAGAAAGATGAAATACCACTGAAAAAACCCACTACTCCTCAGAACAAAAAGCATAATCATAATGAATTACTGGACTTTATTTGCTCATGATCAGGCAATGGTTTTAATTTTCCAATCTTATAAAAATTCTTAACAAAATGCCTTCCAAGTTCAGCTGCTGCATGGGAGTAAAAATAATCTCTCTGAATATGCACTAATTCGGATATCATTATACAAAACTTGCATGGATAATGTGAAAAGACACATTTTCTGAATAAAAACAGATGGTTCTGCTGTATGATTATTCTTTTAATAAGTTGTCTGATACCAGAGACAGCCATATCCCAAGAGAATGCATTTGAAGAACAGTCACTTTAAATGTTAACTGAGGTATTCAAATGCAACAAAAATATAAATCTTCCTGTAATGATTTAAGGTCTTCCAAACAAATGATAAAAAGGCACCAGAGTCTGACACTGAACAAATGGGTTCATTTCCAATGCAGACTGCTGGTTAGGCTGCAGAGCTCTGGCAGCACGACCAGAAGCTGTGATTCCTTCAGAAAGGGTGAACTTTCATAGTCCTCATCCATCTGATGATGGAAGAGGTGAGAATTCCAGAAACATCTACTACTTCTCTGAGTTAATTCTTCTGAATATCTCATCCAAGGTCAGGACATGTGATGCTGCCATAACTTGTTTCTTATTGGCTTTACCTACCAAACCTCGCATATACTTCAGTCACAGCTTGGTTCATGGCCAAGTCGATGAGTCCACGGCCTAAGCAAAAATGTGGCAGGACAAGCAGCACATTTTTCAATGTTTTATTAAATTTCAGCAAAGACTGTAAGAAACAGAAACATAAGCTGTTTAAACCAGATCTGTTCAAGAAAACATAGCAACATAAATGAAAAGTTCATTGTGATATCAGAGAAACTGGATGTTCTGTGTTCTTAAAACAGAGAAAACAGAGTATTTATCAAGTTACACTCAAGCAATATAAAACAGAAACAGCAGAATCCTGGCATACACTGCATCAGATAAGGTGCTTGTGAAAAACTAGCAACAGGGAGAAAAATTAGTTTTTGTAATGAAGCATTTCCCTATGTAGCAGAGGTCATGTAATTCTGGTGGTAACATGTAAAGCTGCTATGGGGCTGTTTTGGATTTGCACTGAAAACAGGGTTGATAACACAACAGGGATATTTTAGCTATTTCTGAGCAGTACTTGCAGAGACAATGCCTTTTCTGTGCCTTACCTTACCCCCCTAGCAAGGAGCTGGGGGTGCACAAGGAATTGGGGAGGGACACAGCTGGGATGGATGGCCCCAGCTGACCCAAGGGACATCCCAGACCATATGGAGTCATGCTCAGCACATAAAGCTGGGAGAAGAAGCAAGAGGGGAATGTTCATAGTTACAGCACTTGTATTCCCAAGTCACCATTACGTGTGATGGAGCCCTGCTTTCCTGGAGATGGCTGAACACCTGCCTGCCTGTGGGAAGTGGTGAATGAATTCCTTGTGCATGCAGCTTTTGCTTTACCTATTAAAATGTCTTTATCTCAACCTATGAGTTTTCTCACTTTTAGTCTTCTGATTCTCTACCCCATTCCATGAGGTGGGGGAGTGGGGTCAGAGTGAGTGAGTGGCTGTGTGGTGCTTGGTTGACACAGAATTAAGCTATGACCATAGTCAGGGCTGCCACAATACTGAAAAGTGCTGGTGGCTGGGCATAATTACAGTGGATGTTGGTGCAATGTAGAGATGCCTGAAACAGTGTAAGTGCCAGCAGCAGTTGAACTGCACCAGCACCGAATCCAGAAAAGGGCCATCTTCCCTCTGGACATAGCATCTGCAACAGAGACGTGTTTTCAAAGGTAACCATGCTGTCCTGATGTCTCATAGACTGAATGGCACTAGACTGAACTCTGTGCTATCAAGAACCATAGCTGTGAATGCAGGAATAGCAGGGACAGAAAATATTGTCAAGTTGGCCCTTGAAAACATGAATTTAACCAAGATCTGTTTCTCCTTTGCAGCAAATAACAATGCTTGATCAGCACAGAGTACTTGAAAATGCCTCATAAGTAATGACAGCTAATTGGACTGCTATGAGATGGAGTGCCAAATGTAGTGGCCAGAGCTTCAACAACTGTGGAGGTGATAGCAGTAGTGCACACAAACCAATAGCATTTTGCAAAGTGATCTCTTAGCCTTCCTTAGAACTATTTTTGGTACTTGCTGTATTCCATCATCTTTCTGATGGTGTTAAATCATTTTCAGGCAATTCTCAAAATGCTGCTATAAGCAGAACACCTCCTCTAACACAATAACCGCCAGGAATAAGTTCCCACCAACTACATCTTCCCATAAAACACAAGCTGCAGAAGCAAGCACAAAGAGCCATGTCTAGACCTCCCCAGCTGTGAAAGTATGCAGAAGCTTGCTCCTAGGTCAGTGAAGAAGGGGCAGGAGGTGCTCCAGGCGCTGGAGCTGAGATTCCTCTGCAGTCCCTGGTACAGACCACGGTGAGGCAGCTGTGCCCCTGCAGCCCTTGGAGGTCCACAGGGATGCAGAGATCCACCTGCAACCCATGGAAGAGACCCATGCCAGAACAAGTGGATGCCTGAAAGGAGGCTGTGACCCCATGGGAAGTCCATGGAGAGAGGAGTCCATGCTGGAGCAGCCTATTCTTGAGGGATTGCACCCTGTGGAAGAGTGACCCATGCTGTAGCAATCTGGGGAGGACTGTTGCCTGTGGGATAGACTCATACTGCAGCAGTTTGCAGAGAACTGTGGCTCATGAGATGGCCTCGTGTTGGAGAAGTTCAAGGAGAGCTGTTAAAGGGACCCCACAGCGGAGGAGGGGAAGGGCTCCTCTCCCTAAGCAGTGGGAGAAACAACGAGTAATGAACTGACCATAATCCCCATTCTCTGTCTTCCTGACCGCTAGGGGAGGAGGTAGAACTGGGAAGGAGGAAAGGCTGGGGAGGTGTTTTTTTCAGTTTTTGTTTTATTTCTCATTATCCTGCTTTGATTTTTAAATAATAAATTCAAGTAATATCTCTAATATTTGCCCATGATGGTATTTGGTGACTGATCTCTCTCAGTCCCTAACTCATGAAGCCTTCATTATATTTTTCTCCCCTGTCCAGCTGTGGAGAGGAGTGAGAGAGAGGCTCTGAAGGATGCCTGGCATCCTGCAAAATTACAAAACATTACTTACCGGATTATTTTCAAATAATTCCAGGATGAATGTAATGGCACTGCTGTTGATTCCCACAAAGAGATTAATACAAGACAACGCAACATAAGCAGTGCTGGGGACACTGAAGAAAGAAGAAGCAGGGTACATCATGGGAATTACTGCCCATCTGCATGCAAGAAATAGAAAAACTTTGATAACTTCTCAGTATTCTCATGTTAGTTGGCCTAAAGAAAATGCAAAGTTAAGCTTTTTTCCCATCCCAAGTATAACAAAATAGTGTAACCAACCAGTAACCCACCACAGTATTTTCTCCCTGGTTACTACATAAGATTTTTTTCTGCTTATTCTTTTTTTTTCCAATGAAAATGCACTGCTAAAATTGAGAAAAATTAATGCTAGCAAGGTTGCTATCACCCCAGGTATCTTCACACATTTCAGTGAGTTGCACAGCAAGAGGAAGAAACAAAGAAATGTTGAATGCTGAAAGATGCTTTAGTATTGACTGAATGTGGGAAATGAACAACCACTAAATTCCTACACAATGTGCAAGGAAGAAATCAGCAAACTGAACAAATATATTTTCCTGTACTGGTCACACTTAATGCTTGAAAGTGCAAGATAGGCAGTGACCAAAGAATCTCTTTTGTAGCATGTAGCCAGAGTACGTAAATATCCCACAGAAGAATCTTAACCTGTTTTGGACCCACCCAGGTCTATTCTTCAAAGCCCACTAAGTACCAAGCTCAGTGACATTAAACCACTTCCATGTGAAATACAGGGCCCACCTGCAGCAATAACCTTGAACACTCACCCATACAGGAGCAGCAAGGCAACGAGCACAGGGAGATTGGTGGGGGAGGCGTATGCTTTCTTGTTGAATCCAACAAAAATAGCCACAACCATCCCAGCACTCAGTGCATAATTCACCTGCCACAGCACAGGGGGAAGATCAATGTGTAAGACCTCAGAAGGGCTACAAACATATCCAGATCCTACACATCATTCCAAAAGGAATTTACATTGAGGAACATCAGAATTTGAGTTAAACTAGTCACACTGAATTTTTTTGATCAACAGGTCCCTAGCAATGCTCAACGTTTTTCTACCACATCTTTTATCAGACTGTTCATCAAAAATACAATATAGATTGTTGTTTCCTAGATTATGGTTTGTGAATCCATTATTTCATAGTCTGGCTTCCAGGCTTCCCACAAAAAGTGGCCATGGGTCTGCAAGGGAAGTGCAGCTTCTGGTGATGCAAACAAAGGCTGTGTAGGATGGAAGAGCTAGTCACCCCAGCCACACTCCTGGGAAGAGGCTAAAGTGAGTACGCTTGGCCACTGCTCAGTTTCTCTGTTCAGTACTAGTAGCACTACTCTACTGCAATGCACAGAATTCCCCACGCAGAATGGAAGGTAGCATTTCATGGAACTGCTAACACCACTTAATGCCTCGGCATTGTGCTGTCAAGGGCAATGGCCAAGCAGAATTCCTGTCGAGGAAGCTGCTGTGAACAGCAGGGAATGAGAACTCTGGGACTTGCTTCTTTTCCCTCATTTACTAAAATAATGCTTTGCTTTGTCTTCTCCTGAGAGAACACCTTCCAAATCCTGAAGAGTTTTTGGCTTTTCAAATATTGATTTTCTTTTCTTTTTAATTTTTTCAATTCCATGTTCGTACTTTTCCTATTGCATAATTCCTTGGCCACTTTTTCAGTTGTGAAGGCTTCGCCAGAGAACCAGCCCTTGCTGTGCCTCAGCCAGACAAAGAATTTTCTCTTTTATGACAAGGTGGCTGGAGGGAAGCTGAGCCCTGTCTAAGAAAGTCTGCACCTGTGGTATAAATCTTTTTGGAAAAACAGTGACCATGATACAGTGACCTAAATGAATACGTCATTTTAGACACCCTGGAGTATTTTGTCAGGCTTAGATACTGCTCCAGCAGGCTGTGAATCTTCTCCACTTAGGTTTCTTGAATATCTTGAAATATATCTTGGGTCTTCTAGAGAGCAGGAGTGACTAGCACCAGGCAATGAGGCTTCCCCCTGCTGTGCTAAGTTGTACTTCATGATATATTTAGTTGTAAGGGCTAGAAATCCTAAGACTATAAAAAATACAGGTTCATTAGTTGACTGAGTTGTGCACCTGAATTAATTTCTATATCTGTAATTAGTTCAGAGACCAGATCCTTAACATCTCTGTCTCTGAGAAACATTTAAGAGAAATGAACGCTTTGCAATGCTTAGAATCATCTTCACTTGATTCACTGATTTGCCCTCAGTTCATGCACACCCAGGATAATCAGAGGCTGTCAATCAGACCAGCAGTTACTTACTATGTCCCACATGAAGTTAGTTAGCCAATAGGTAACAGGGCTCACACCACTGACAAACTGGAGATGTTTGGCTTTTGTTACACGTTCTTGGATCAGGTATAAAACAAAACTGGCTGGGATAAAGGACATGGCAAAAATCACACAGATGGCAACAACAGCATCCACTGAAGTGGTCAGTCTACAACAGAGCACAAGAAGGGACTGTGAGCAAGGGAAAGGATGCAATGCAACACTCTATTAGCATTTGGGGACTCTGGAGGGTGTTTTAAGATCTACAAGTATCAAGGCTGTTTTTAAGTAGGAGACTTCTCCAGTTTCAAAATGTGCTAGTGTATTATTCCAAGTTGTTTTGAGGACTGTAGCTAACAAATATGGCACCATTCTCTGATCTTTTACTTGCTTTATATATCTCAGTTTGACTGCCTTTCCTGTGTACATCTCAAACTAGACATTTAGGCACAATAGCCAAAGTGCTCTGGAAACAGGGAAAAGAGAAACTTAAAAAAGCAAGTTGGAGACAGTGAGATGAAGCACAGATTTTGCATCTGTGCTATAATGCAAAGTTTTCAGTTTAATTGAATTATGAAATTAATAGGAGAGTAGAAAATACTGTCTTTTTAGGGATGTCTTTTTCAAGAAATTATGACTTTCAGATTTGGGAATACACCAACCCTACAACATGCCACTGAAAATCTACCTGTATGCTGTCCTTAGCACCAAGAGAGCAGGCTGTCAACTACTTGAGCTGTAGTCAATTATGGGCAAATTCTCATTCCATTTTTTATTATGTGTTTTATTTCAGAAGTTAATGTGTTGGACTTGGAGCATGAACCAAAGTTTCAGAATCTTCATGCTTGGCAATCAACAGAAACATGCAATAACATATATCCAACAGTTATAGTTCCTTTGTGGGATGGGAATGAGCTCTCATGGGAATGTAACGAGACATAAATAGATTCTTGTTTAGAATAAAACTTCAGGGAAGGGCCCCCATATTCTGTCAGTTGAACTCTTTCTCCTCAGAGTGTGAGCATGCTGGAAGTTGCAAGTTGCCTGAAGAGGAGGGGGTAAAAGCCAGAAGCAGAGCACAAGCAGACTTACACAGTGACTTCAGAGAGTTGCTCCTTGGTGAGGTTCAGAGGATGGTTTATAGCAGTGATCCCATGTTCCTCAGGGTCTTGGCCAGTCCTCAGATTAGCTCTGAGGATTGCATTATTGGCTACATTGAGGAAACTAACTATAGCATGCCAGCCTTTATTGTTAAACCACACCTAAAAGAGTCAGAAACCACAGATTAAGTTGTCAGTTACTGTCTTCACTGAGCTACAGGAGACAATTTGGCTGCCTTTTATCTATTTTGGTGGGCATTGTCAGTAGGGGTGAATCCAGCACCAGGAATTCATAGTTCCTAGGCACAGTCCTGCAGGAGGAGCTCACATACTATGCTTTTAAAAGCATTGAAAAACTACTCTCAGGGGATTTTATAGAAGCATATTTTAAGATTCAGTGTACTACTCAAAGTATTTAGAAGAGCAAGTAGTACTAAGAACATGATTTAAAAAATCTCACATTTGAAATACTATGAAGAAGGATTACCTATAGTATGGGATACAGTGTTAACACCAAGTCATTTCTAAATTAGTGTTTCAGCTCTTCTTGCATCTGGGAATACCACCAGCAATATTCTCATAATTTGAAGGCTGTGTCAAGAAAGACTGGATTAGCAGACTAATTCCAGCAAATACCTTAATATTATCTTCAGTTTCCATGTATTTAAGGAAATCAGGGATTTCTTTAGCAGCAGCCAGTGAAGCTTGCCCCTAAAACAAAAAAGAAAAAGCTGAAGATCAGCGCTCTATGTGAAATCTAATGCTGCAGTAACCATGCTTTAATAAGGGGTCAAAAACAAGCAAACAAAATTAAAAATCTTGCTTACTCCTGTCACATTCATCATTCGGCCAAGATCACTGAAAAAATTGACAATTTGATCTCCAGAAACATGAAGGACTGGAAGCCTTCCTCCTATAGAAATTCCTCCATATCTAGGAAAAAGAAAAAGATAATCAATAACTCATACCAAACACCCATAACTGCAAATTAGTGGAAATACTAAAAACCCACTTAATGCAAGTTTAATTTCTATACATCAAATATTTCATATATAACCATTTCTACTCTTTTTCTAACAAGTAGTATTAGGACTTTTCAGGGCTTACAAATAATAGAAGGTTTATCTGTTTCTGAAAGGTTTATGCCAGGATCCTGAGAAAATTACTTAGAGAGAAGATTTGGAGAAAACAGTGATTTCTACAGAACAAATTCTTTAAATCAAGATAATAACCATATAATTATAATCCTCCATGTTTAGACAGCTCCTCCATGTTTAGACAGCATGGAGGACTAAGGACAGCATAGACCTCAGTAAAAATTTCGCATGCTTAGAGAGGAGCAGGTATTCACCAATGTCAGTACCAGCCAGTGGTGCATAATGATAAATTATTAATTAATAAATGTGATATAATGATTAAATATTGCACAAGATGAACTGAAGCCTAATCCTATAGGAAGCAATGCTTGCACATGAACAAGAAGATATTCCCTGAAGTAAGGCAGTCATCTGCTATCTTTGAAATAAACTCCTGCTGCTGGTGAGAAATGAAATGAGTATGTGCTTCAGGCTAACCAGTCATCTTGCTAAGCTTTTAGTAACTGCAGTGTAGACATCACACACTGGTGTTAGCTGCTGTCTCTAGCTAAAGGAGAGAACTACTGCAATCTGGTTAATAACTACTGCACATGTACAGAGCAGGCATGAGGAATTGTTGTTGTTACTTCTGTGTTTGATTGGCTGGTGTCTAGGTTTCATCCCACTCCGGTCCTTTTTTTGGAGAGTTTATATTTTTCTGCAGCACTGAAAGAGTTGTGCCACAGCAGTATTACAATACACTGTACTATTGCGTCAAACATTTTCACCACACACAGTTCCCACTGGCTTGACTCCTATAGGTAATAAAGCTCTGATAGCTCCATTGTGAGCCTCTTGCCTTCATCTCCTGCAGGGAGTTCAAACGAATATAATCCCTTGCCTTTATAAGATCCTTCCTGATCCCCAGCCTATTTCCCACTGAAGCCATCTCTTTGTTCTACACTGCCTGCCACAATTCCCCTTGTCCATTTGCAGAAACATTGTGAGGCTCCCTGGTTAAACAGAAATACATTGTTCCTTTATTTACTACCTTAATCTGTGAATTGGTTTCTTACCTCTGCTCATTGACCCAGTATTTACTCTTCAAGCTGAAAGAGACAAAGAGAATCCCCTCTCAATGCACAGAACCAAAGTCAAAGGTACATCAGGATTAAATAAAAATTAAAGTTGAATTCCTATACTTTGTAGACCTCCAGTCTGCTGGTTATTACTTTGAGTTCTGGGGTTGGTAGGACTTTTGACATTCCTTGCAGTGTGTTTTTGGCTTTTTGTTTTCTGACACGATTCATCTCCAATTCATACAGAGATAAGCAAGATTCCTTAAGTGATACATACTTGGCTATTCTAATCCATAATTAATTTATTTTAAAAGATGTATCTAGGGGGGATCAGTCAAAGGCAGTCTATATAGCATCTTGCTAATATAAAGGGAATTTCAAGAACTCTGCTGGGAACTGGAAAGGTAGCAAGGCCTGAATCAGAGATAATAGGCCATGGACACTGCACAGCTAATTACCACACTCAACACACAGGCCAGCTGAGGAGCTATCAGTAGGATGGATGTATCTGTGTAACATTGTCCTTTGGCTGCTCTTTAGCACTTCTGGGAAGCAAGTGAAAATTAACTCAGGCAGAAGGTCACGTTAGCATGGCTGCAGTCCTTCAGAGAGACAAAGTAGTAGCTCTGCAGGGCAGTTCACCCTCACTGTGCACAGGCACCATTTTTGTCACCATTAACACGACATTCCATCAGCACAGAAGCTTAGTTCTGCCTATAAAGGAGTACCTGATTATACAAATAGTTATAATTGAAAATATTTAACTCCTCTGAAACCACCCTCTTCTGGTCTTATATCAGAAATATGGACATGGTGCTCAATTCTACAAAATACTGTGGCAAGTCGGGTGTTACATCATTACTAAATAAGAATTTCATCAGCAGGTACAAAATAACCATGTGAAAAAGATATAGAGATTCATCCCTACCTTCCTTTTATCAAAGTGGGATATGTTTTCACCAGAAAATCTGAAATGTTTCTGTGGGTCAGGTCTTGAAGAATTTCTGTGCTGCGTTGCACTCTCTGGAAAGAAACAAAAAAAAAAATAATCACAATAAAGTTTAGCATGTCTTAAGCTATTAAGTGTTTGTCAGGAAAAGAGGAAAAGAAGTTTTGATTCAGAGAAAATTCTCAGGTTCATAGTATCACTGAAAGAGAGTGGGTCAATCGCTCGAGCATCATTTGTAGCCTAAACATCCTTACTTTACTAAGACTTTAGAAGAAATCAATACATTTGTGATGCATGACACAAAACAGTTGCATGTCACTCTGAAAAAGGTATTTGCAACAAAAGTCAGGGGTACACAAGGCTTTTTCTTCAACCTGAAAGTAGGAAACTTTTCAAATAAACTGAGGCCCCAACAAAAAAAAAAAAAAAAAACCAAAAACCAAACAAAGAAAGGTAGTTTCCTATAATTTTGCAATTTTAGGTAAAAATTATAAAAAAATTCACCTTCACTAACATATTAGATAGTTTGAATGAAAATTACTTTTTTTAAAAAAATATGAAAATGATGCCATATGATGAAGTTTTAGAGCCTTTTACAAATGCAGGATTGCTGTGAAATGCAAGACGTCATACTCGGAGTTTTTCCCAAGGTAGAATACACTTTAAGAGCTTCCTGGGCAGCTTCAGATGGCAAAGCTTGCAACCTGAAATCATCTGATAATGACCCAGAGAGTAAATCTAATGAATTTTCCAGAAGTTCCTGCATTTGTCCACAGAGAGTATGACACAGAAGACACATCAGAGACATCCAGCTGATTCTAGACAGGAAGATTGGTAACATCCCCATAGTGCCTTCATTAATTGAGTAAACATAATTATATTGCCAATTATTTATGCACTGTGGCTTTCCTGGAGACTCAAGTGAACTGTTTCTTTATGACAAGTTATAGAAAACTATAACATCCTGCAAAATTATTAGGATAATATTATAATAAACATTTTGTTTAGAGGACTAGAATCCCCACAAAAAAATAAAAAAAAATGCATCTTACTTGGAATTGGAGTTTTAGACTAAAGGTCTCTGAAATACATTAGCAGGCAATCAGCAAAATGCAACTTTGTCTCTTAGACAGGGATTACTAAGAAATGAGAAATAACTTGGGATGCTGTAAGGTATATAAACTATATCAATTTTTTTTTCTTTATAAACAGGAATCCTATTGATATTTAAAACAACTTTCTTTTGTGAACAGTGATAGAGAAATAAAGCAAGCTGAATCAGAGTCTTCAAGAGAATGTGTCATGGAAAGTCACTATCTCTGGAGTGTTCAAAAGTGTCAAGATGTGGCACATGGGGATGGAGTTGAGTGGTGAAGATGGCAGTGCTGGTTTAACAGCTGAACTCAATCTTAGAGGTGTTTTTTAACATAATGATTGTATGAAAATTAGAAATATATTTTAGTCATTTTGCTAGTGCGTTCAGCCTGGCAAATAGGAATATGAAAGCTGAACAGTGTGCAAGATGCAACATTAAATTAGTGAGCTAATAGTCTAAGAGTGGCTGGAATTCTGTTTAACTTCTTAGAAAAACATTTATTAAATGCAAACACTGACAGGCTGTAATTTTCCTTTGCTCTTCAAAAGAGCAAACACATTTTATGAAGGACATTGCTAAGATCATTCATTGATAGGAGAGGAGGCAATGTAGCCCTGTTTTCCTCCATACAGCATCAGTGGTTATTAAACTAATCATTTTCATGCACATGCATACAAATATTCATTTTTATAGCTTAGAACATTTCTGATAGAAATGGAACTGAAAGACATGTAAAAAATAATAATTTGGGGTTCACTGGATATTAATTTTTCCAGTTAAATGAGAGGACTACACTCCATGTTTTTAAAATTATGACTTTTTTCTTTTTTTCTTTCCTCTTTCTCCCTCCTGCCCTTCCCTTCTTTAAAGAAAGGCAATTTTCTAAATAGAATTGTTCTTTGAGGCAAAATAATTTTTTTTAAATTATGTGATAAATTGTTAAAATTTTTGTAATTTTCTTCTACACAAAAGATGTGCAATTTGGATGAAAACAGTAATCAAAATTTATTTAAATGTGCAAGCTTTTCAAATACCTCTGAAACTGAATTTCAGATTTCATCAAGTCTTGCTCTGTTAGAAAAGAATGTATTCAACTCCTTCCATGTATATTAGCATGGCAAGGTACTTAGACACTGATCCCTTTTTCCAGCACTTGCCATGAAACTTTTCTACAAAGACTTATGTCACAAGGACACAACCTGTGGTGGTGGGAGGCCTCCTGCACCAGCAGGGCAATCTGGCAGCATAGTGAGTTTCTTGTGAGTGCTGCACTTGCAGGAAGGTGATGGATTCTCAGGGCTCCACTCCTGGCTCCCCAGGAGGCTGCTTAGGTTAGGATGAACAGCAGGAGTGTTCCAGGCAGTTGGCATATGATTGCATGGGAAGCTCCTGTGGAGAGGAACAGAGCTTTCAGCTGTGCAGAGGTAACGGTCCATGAGAACTCACAAATTCACAAAATCACAATGCTCTAAGCAGATATTCCCCCCTCAGCCCTCATCCTGTGAGTTTTGAATAAGAATAACATTTTAGAGTATTTGGTACATAAATAAACACAGTCTCCCCCCACATCTCTGCCAAGTTTGCTGCCTTCAGCTCACAGATAGGACACCGAAGGGGCAAGGGGACTGTGTTCCATCCATTAGTACTGGAAATCTGCAATGGACATATCTTTGTGAAAAAAACTATAATTTTCCTTTCTCATGCAGTATCTTTTCCTTTTTAAAAGTTTCCTCTTTGCTTCTGCTATACCAGGTAGAGGAGAGGAACGGGAGAAGAGAAGACAACCAGAAGGATCAAAATGCTGGATATCATGGCTAGGGAAGAGTCAGGAGAAAGGGGACAAAAGTCAAAGCACAGCAAGACAGTGACAAATGGCTCCAAAGCAGGACTCACAGGCAGAGTAAGCAGTTAGGACAGCAAAAGCTGCAGCTCTGCTAATGTTGCCTTCTCTTCAGAATGAGAGTAGCTTCAAATGATGGACACAGTTGTATTGCTACTTCACAATCTGAGCAATTGCTGAAGTTATTGCTTCCAAACACATAAGTGGGAACTGGAGGAACCTGAAGGGACTCAGATATGGAAAGTACCAGGAAAGCTGGGATTTGGGCCTGAGGCCACTGACCTACTGACATAAATTTAGAGGTTTCTCAACCCTATTGTCAAGCTATTCAGGCTGGTTTCCAGTCAGTCATATTGAGCACTGTGAATCATTTCTAATCCAGTGCCAGTGTGATCTTGCTGTTTGTTTGTTTGTAACTTCTGACCCAATATTAGCCAACAATACATGTGAAGCACTGGCTCTTGTGAAGAGTCAAGCCAATTCAATCCTGTTTCACTACTCAAGTTCCTCTAGAAGTACCCTGCTAGGATCTCATTCAAGAGAAATGAGGTAGCAACTTACAAAAGAGGCTGATTCTTCATGCAGCGAATTCCAAATCCTGGTTTATTCAAGAAAGCATGAGTAAGGGAGACCATATGCTCATTGCCAGGACGTTCATTGCTAAGGGAATAAAATAGGAATTTCTCTCTAAAATATTTTTTCAAACTATTGTACTGTACAGTAATACACTTGGCAACTAGAGAAGGACAGCCATACGACAGTACCAACTGCCCCCCTTCAAATGCTGATAATTCAATTGTTTTATTTATTTATGTAAAAACCCAGAATGTTCCAAGGTGGTTGACAGGCAATGGTTCTTATCTCCTGATACTAAAGTTAACTTCTGACAAAGTCCAATAGCAGCATTCTCCAAAAAAGGCTGGATTCCTCATTGCTAGTCTCTCAGCACTGTCACAGTCAGAAATCAGAAGATGAAAAACATATTCTGCATTTTCATTTGTGGAGGCCTGGATCTCCTGTTTGACAGGATATGTAACTTTTTAAGTGTTGAGGTCCTGAATTCAGGTGGGAAGAGGAGAATACCAAAGTTAGGAAGATATTTGAAAGAATATTTGTTAGATTTACCACTGGCTGTATTCTCCATGTGCACCAACTGCAAGCTATTTTAAATCTGCTGATTCTAGTGAAGTGAATCTTTTCTTACATCACATAGAGTGAGAAAAAAGCAGTGAGACAGAGCCCCATGATGTTAAACTCTAGGGAGAAAAAGGTAAATGTGTGACAAATGTACTTTAAGTGATTCCTCTTACCTGAAGAAAGTAAACTGTTGTCCATAGATCCAAGGATGTAATGTTAAGGCAGGATATTCTCCAAATGGAGGAATAATGACTGTAAGTACTAGAGACAGCAACACAAAACTAGCAGGAAGAACAACCTGTGGGGAACATGAAAACTTCACATTAGATTATTATATCAAGGTTGCAGAGTGACACTGTGTACACCCCATAATATATGTAAACAAAGGAAGGACAGCAGGAGCTGTCCAGTCTAGACAGATCAGTCTAGTTTAGCTCCTGAACACCAACAATTTAATTTCCAGCACTTCTGCTTAAAATTCTGGTTGTCACAGAACTGTATTATGTTAAAAATAAAACACTGGGCTAGTAGTGATAAAATGACATACGTGGTAGACTCCAGAGAGAAAGAAATAAAAGAAGAGGCAGAAGAGTTGGAATCTTAATTGCACTGTTACCCATTTGCAGCACCCCTATTGCTTTCCATGATTTCTGGAAAGACAGTGTTGAGACTGTTGTGGCAAAGAGTCAAGAACAGCACAAATCAGTCAATACCTGTGCTAGGAAGTCCTTGTAGCTGCGGGAGGCGTGGTGGAAGCGTTTGATGAGCAGTGCTTTGATCTGCTGATGTACAAGCTGAAAGCCTTTATACTGTCGGGACCCTTTGCCTTCATTTTGATCTCCTGCTCTGCCTACTGGCATTCGAGAAATGTCATTAGTTTTCAGGGTGGTTTGTTCAGCTGGTTTGTTCTCAATAGGAGTTTTGTCAAGAGCAGAACCATTTTCTTGAGTATCTCCTAAGTTAAGATGAGAAGCATCAGAGAAGACACTTTATCTTCCATATATAAAGCAGCACAGACATTTTTATGAGGTCCAGATTTTACCAACCATATATATCATATTTCCAGATTGTTTTAAGTACAACTGTTGCCCTGTGGTTGTATTTAGTGACATCATATAGGTTAATTCTCCTCTTATTCATCAGGATGGACAATTTAATCATCTATTATGGACTAATAGTCAGCAAAGTAATTTTTATACCACTACTAAAACCGTTGACATCTAGGTGCTCGACACTCCACTTTTATTTGCACAGTTAAGAACCTCATCCAATCTAAATACAAGTCTTTCTGCTGACTTAATCTTTTTTTTTTTCAGGTATCATGTCAGGCCCTAAAAACAGATATTTGGTGACCAAATTTATTTTGTTAAGAACACATAAAAGACTGAAAGTTCTGAAACTCCTCTTTACAGAGTGTTCAGAATAAAAAGCAGTCCCAAGAACAGTTAATTAAATATGGATTTGTGAATCTATACCTGTTTTTTGCATTTCAGGGTCAGCTTCTGCTGTGACCTTTAGGAAAACCTGCCATAGAGAAACACATTTTCTGGTTAGGAAAAGTTACATTAACCTGACTTCAAGAACACATACAATATCCTTCAATAGAAAAGAAGAAAATTTTGATACCTTTTCAGTACTTCATATTATTACACAATCCGAGATCTCTTATGAAATACCTCAGAAAATAAATGAATGAACAAAGATAGGAAAAAAAAAAAAAAAAAAGAAAAAAAAAAAAAAAAAAGAAGAAAAGATGCACTTCAGGCTAATGGGTCAGGCTCCACAAAGCTATAATGAATTAAGGGTTGAATTCTTTCTCTAAGCCCTTCTCAAAGATTTTCTGTGTGCCACAGCATATAGGACTAGATTTTGAAGGACATATTAGGAATTAGGAATTAAATATTTAAGAAGAGGAGTAGTCTCAGTAAACATTTTGGTTGCTTATGGTGAGGTCAGCAAGTATTTTAATCTGTCTGTTACCTCTTCAAGTGGAGTGTCTGAAACTCCAAAACTGCTGAGTCCCAAGTCATCCAATGTTTCCTCCAGTTCTCTGAAGAGACTGGCATAAGATCGCTGTTTAAAGTTTTTATTGGGCAAAAGATAAATGAGTTCCTGACCAATGCTTTCAATCAATTTTGCTTCTGGGATATGATGGTGGATTACTTCTGCTAGCTCATTTAGATCTCCTGTGAAAAGTCAAAACAGTGTTTATAGAATGAATATTTAACCATATTAAGCATGACTTCAAAAGCTGTTGTTTGCACTAAAAGGGTACTGCTCTATTTCATAACCCACAGATATCTCAGTTAATTTTGCACTAGACTGGGCTATGCTTCTAGTTATGCTTTGGAACTATGTAGCAGGAAACTATTTCAGGTTTGTTAATAAAGCACAACAAAATCTTCAGGAATATCTACTTAAATTATTCTCTTATGCAGAAAAGCCAAAATTCCTTTTTTTTTTTCTGAGCAAGTCTATTTCCTTGCTCTAGATATGCTTCTTATTTCATTAACAAATGACACAAAACTCTATGCCATACTTGTAAAGCACACAAACTTCCAGTTCATCATCTATACCTGAGACATATACACAAAAATGGGTCAATGGTAAGCAAAACCACAAAGAACCCTTATTAAATTCACATTACAATACAATACAAATGTTAGACACACGGACCAAAGAAGTGGGCCTTGGCAGCATTGATCTGTAAGACAAGATTGCAGCATAATAGGAGACATAGCTATGTGCTGGAATGCTGAACCATCCTGCTTCTTACCATCCAGTTCCAGCTCTGGAGCTCCTTCTTCACCCCTGTGCACACAGCTGGAGCAGGAGCAGGAGCACTGAGATCCACAGCTACAAAATGACTAGCATGGACAAGCAAGAGATAGAAAGATTAATGTGCTTCTGACACACTCAAAACAGGATGTAAACATTGGCAATATGTGAACAGCTTGAGTCAATGAAAAATATGTCATATCCAGAGCATCTTGAACATATTATACTGAAAATCATCTGAAGACTGGATTAAGCAATGCAGAAAACATAAATCCATCTGCATAAATCAGTTCTAAACTGCATACAAAATAGTTGGGGGAATACAATCAGCAGGGGCCATGAGTGTACAGACTGTGTTGCTACTAGGACTGGAAGCACTATTACAACCCAGAACCCTACTTTTCAAGCTGTGAGAGGCTGGTTTCTCTATGAATAAATGTAAACTTTCCTGGTGTCTGAGCTACTTACCAGACTACCTATTGTTTAAAAGCAGTGTACTGCAAAAGCAAGAATCATATTGTTATATATTCTGTATATGGACAAAGGCAACTTGAGAGTTGAGGTTGTTCAGCCTGAGAAGGGAAGGCTCCAGGAAGACCTTGGAGACCCTCCAGCACCTAAAGAGGGCTACAAGTGAACTGGATAGGGACTTTTACAAGCATGTAGCAATACGACAAGGGGGAATGGCTTTAAACTGACAAGGGGTAGGTTTAGTTTAGATGTTAGGAGGAAATTCTTTACTGTGAGGGTGGTGAGGCACTGGAACAGGTTGCCCAGAGACACTGTGGATGGCCCACCCCTGGAAGTGTTCAAGGCCAAAATGACTGGATGGGGTTTGAGCAACCTGGCGTAGTGGAAAGTGTCCCTGCCCACAGCATGGGGGTTGGAACTAGATGATCCTTCCAAGCTAAACAATGCTAATATGATATTCGTAATTATATAATGATATGATTAACTGCAGTTTTGTACGAAGTGTCAAGCAGTACTTAAGTGACTTTACCTTGGCGCAATGCAAGCATTATTCAGATTACATGTGCAGGGGGTGAGATTCATACTTACTGTAGCCCTTCCCATTTTTGTAGTTCTCATCTTGCGAACAAGGGTGAGATAAAAGCCAGAGCCAAAACAGTTCTTTAGGAATACAGGAGAGCCCGAGCAGAAGAGTTTCCCTTGGGATATGATGGCTACTCTGTCTCCAAGGATGTCTGCCTCATCCATATGATGGGTTGATAGGATAATAGTTCTGCCTAGAAGGAACAAGGAATAATGTTCAAGGCATGAACTCTCTCTGGAACTCAAAACTGTGTTTAGCTTTTTGGCAATTATTTCTCTGCAGGAAAGCCAGTCCCAGGTTTGCCACAACAGTAAGTATCTGTTCAAAGAATCTTGTTTGCTTGTGTTCATATCCCACTACACATGACAGTTTACACAGCAGGCACATATTGCATCTATGATAAGTTTAAAAAATCCCACCAAAAAATCAGTTTCTACTCTCAAATCTCTTACCTGGGCGATATTTCAGCAGAAGATCCCAGATAGATCGCCTGGAATATGGATCAACTCCAGAAGTGGGTTCATCCAAGACTACCACTTTTGCTTCACCCACAAAAGCAATGGCAACAGACAGTTTCCTTTGCATTCCACCTACCGGAGGACAAACACATCCAGGAGTGTAAGATACACTATATAAGTGGCAGGGATGCAATTAACATTGCTTTTTTGGTGTGTGGACAAACTGCTACAAATAAAATGAAACCCATCCTCAGACCCATACCTGCAAAGATAAATTAATATTTTTTCTTCTGAAATTCAAAACAGGTTGTTCAAACTTTTTTTTTGGAAAAATATATATTTTCCATCTACACATTGCATTTTCTGCTCCTTGCCAGAAGCAAAAGCAGGAAGATATGAGATTTTCATGTTCTTTCATGAATCTAACCAACAATCAGGTCAAAGTAGTATAAGAGCAGCTGTTTATGCAAATCAGCCTTTGAATCTGAAAGTGAGAGTTGTTCAAATATACTATGTGCATTTGTACTGTCAGAATGGAAGAAACTACTCCTACCAAATAATGCAGTATTATGGAGCACTGATCTATACAGTGGGGCAGCATGACAGTATAGTATTTAATTTGTCTTGAAATAACAGAAGGTTTTATTTTTATTTGTTTCTTATACTAACCAATTATATATATATATATATATATATATATATATATATATATATATATATAATAGTATATAATGGTATATATATAATAATATATATATGATTCTTGTATAGTCACATTTACTCCTTGAGAAGAAAGCATCCCCCTAGTGCATGCTGGTGTGTCAGAATACAGGCTCAAATAAGTAACTCAACCAATAATAGCCCAAAGGCCAGGTAAGATGGGGCTGTGAGCAACCTAGTCTAGCAGGGGGTGTTCCTGGCCATGACAGGGGGTTGGAACTTCATAATCTTTAACATGTGTCTATGAGAGACAAAGAAAATGACAAAACATCTTAGAAAATTCCTGTGGGCACCTGACAAATTCTGAGCTTCTTCATTTCTTTTATGGGTGAGACCCATGTCTTCCAGCATTGTTTCCAGCTCTTGCTCAGCTTCTTCCCTGGATCTTCCTTTCAGTTGAGAATAAAACAAGATGTGCTCTGCTACAGTAAGGCTGTGACATCAGACAGAAAGGCAAGAAGGCACGTTAAATGAATAAGCTGATTTTTTTCCCAAGCAGCAATAAATTCATTCTAGCTTTATCTTGCCAAAGGAAGAGAGGTTGCTTTACCCTACAAGATCTTTGGGATCAACACACTTCACTTGGAGTCATAGTCTCTTTCTTTGCCTTTTGAAAGCAGAACCTGCTACTAAAGAAACAGGTATAGCAGGCATCAAACCATCCATTTATGGGAATAAAATGGGAGAGAGTCTGCTGTTGAGATGAAGACAAACTAGTGGAAGTGAAGCTGGTAATCACCAGAGAAGGCAATAAGTAGTTGAGTGGTAGTAAGAAATGGGCATAAAAATACCCTGCTACTGCACTGTCAGCTCGAATTTTTTTGCTTTAGTGGCCCTAAATTATAGTGCATGAACCTCCAGGATAACTCCTGCTGACCTACATTACAACAGAAAACACCAGGGGCACTGCTATTTTCCTAAGAAATTATGATCCCAGTGAAATGATGCAGGAGTTTTCCACTGCAGGATATGATGTTAAGAGAGGGAGAAGTTCATCTGAAATACATCTGCTGCTAGCACAGCAAGAGAAAAAACACAGACTTTGGGGATTCTCACACATGCAGACTGGGATGCTTCTACTTGAAGCCAGTATGGAGTGATACTTACTGATTGAATAAGATGTTGTGCTGAGGGCACATCCCTAATCTGTGCCGAATGGAGTCCATGTGAGTTTGGATGTCCAGGCCACCAACCAGCACAGTTCCAGATGTGGGTGGGAAGAGGCCTGTCAGTATCGACCTGAGAAAACAAAATGAGGAAATTCCCCTTCTCCTACCTCTCTGTGCTAGATAAGGAAGCTACATGACATGATTCCACTAGATGGAGCATGATGACTTCTTACTATAGGCCTTGATGAAGCAACTCCAACAGAAAGCACATATGTAAGTACTGGTCTGCTACAGAGAATCCGATGGATCTGCTCACGACATTTTTGATACAACTGTCTATATGGTTCTGGCTTCCATTAAGAAACTGTTTTAGCTCAGGGTGTTATATCACCCCTACATATAAATGGGTCTAAAATGAAGCTCAGTAGGAAAAAAAAAAAAAGCTTGAGGTCTCTGGTCATGCTGAGTCATGCCCTAAATCTTTATTTTCTGTAAAGTAGAAGACCAAATGTTATTTTGCAAATGGGTGGCATCTCTTAATAGATTTGGGTGATTAGTGGATTTTTCAGTTTAAAAAAGTTCAAAGCAATAAAAAAAAATTATTTTCATCAGAAGAATAAATCCCCTCAAATTTGCAAAATATTTCAGCAGATTAGGATGCTTTTATTTTGGGTTGAACATATTCCTTGTGAAACAATTAAAAAAATTAGAAGGTAATTTATAGTGCCTTTGAAATAAAAGTGCTTTAATTGAAAAACCCTAAAGTATTCGCTGAGAAAAGTCATAATGAAACACATTTAATTCTTTCAACATTTGGTGAACTTGTAACAGATTTATAAAAGGTTTTGATCACAAATTAATCCTATTTTGCCAAATAAGGTTCTGTATAAGAAAATTACACATCTTAAAGTTCAGGTTCCTGGGTTGCTAGGTTTCTAGGACTAGAGGAACATTTTAATCTGGACGTGGATCTTTCATGAGTGTAGCAATTTTATTTAAAGAAGGCCTGTATTTTATACTCCTTTGCACACAGACCAATAGACGTGAATGACCTAGAGCCAGTTAGAGAAACCAAGAGCATGTGGAATGTAGTGGCTTGCAAATTTTCAGCTCTTTCAAACAGGAGATCCTTCTCTTTCTTCACCTGTGGTAATTTAGCCATGGGAAATGAATTCTGGGGGAGAGAACTGCTTCCTGCTCTCTGGATTTTCACTTGTTTGTGTCATGCATTACTTCCCTCCCAGGGCATTAGCTAATCCAGAACATCTTCTTTATGCCTAGGGGCAGAGTTTCCCTGTCTGGAAAAGGCCTAATGTTGTGTTTCAAGCCAGCTGCAGGGTGGGTAGAGAGACAAGGGAAGAATGAAAAGACTGCTCCAGCAATAGAGCACTGCCCTGGAGAGACTTACATGGTAGTTGTCTTTCCTGCTCCATTGTGACCAAGGAAGGCTGTGATCTGACCTTCATAAAAAGTAATATTTATCCCATCTACTGCTGGTTTGGGCCTGTTCACAAAAATCTTCACCAGGTTCTGAATGCATACTCCTGGAATCAGTCCCGTTGGCTCAGGCTCAAAGAAGGTATTTACTTGAAAGGCAAGAAATCAAAAATTAAAAGAGAATAAAAGCACCTGTTTTAATCTTAGTTCTGATATGACAACGCATCAGTAAGTGCAGAAGCAATAGCACATACCCAGCATAATACAGCATCATGTTCCAGGGTCAGATTCTCCGAGCCACACCAGTATAAAACTAAGGCCAGATTTCTAACTGCAGTGCCATTTATTTAGATTCACTCTCATATCTATGACACAAGAAGCAGAGCCCAGAATTATGGTGTTCTGTGGAGACTTAACTCATTGGGCCAGGGGAAGCTGAATATGCTTTCTGTTCTCATTGTGCAGCAGAAAGATTATTTGGAATTGTTTTCTGGAAATACTTAGATAGGCAGAGAGATTACATTAAACAAGCAGCAGGTTGCCTTTCTAGCTGGGCTGAAATCTGCCATTCAAATAATCTGCCCAGCTGTGCATTCTTTGACCATGATGCTTAAAAAACCTCCCCCAAACACAAACGAAAGACAACAACAAAAAAAATTTGCCTTTAATCCTGGTAGGTGAAATTTGCCCCATTGCTGAGACCAGGTCAAGATTTAGATAGTACCTAACATGTGCACTACATGAGATGGCTTTCTCTCAGGATTAAAAATGCATTATTGCAAATAGCACCATCAGGATATTTTATTGCACCAGCTTCTAGACAAAACAAACTTCCTTTGAAGTAAATTAAGCCCTTGGGCAATGTGAATTATGGGAGTTGAGAAACTGAAACTAAAGACCCTGTCCACTTTTGTTTACACAGAATGCTTTAGGCTTTGTAGGAAGGCTTATTTTGCAATTGCAGTTTACTTAAATTGTTCAGTACCCAGCAGGCCTGTGTGGAGAGCAGCCAAAGCGATCTGGGTGTAACCAGCCCCACATCCATCTGCGGCTTGTGTGACTGTCATTACTGTCACCGACAGCACTCGGGAAAAAAGTTCCAAACTTGTTGTACATGAGAGAGCTGTGTATATTACAGAGCAGCTGCAATAATAAATATAGAAAGGGTAGCACTATTTTAGATAAAATTATGTTTGTTAATTACTTTTCTTTTGACTTGTGAAAGGAATCTGGGTTTTCATTTACCTTGCTGAGACAAATGCGAACCTCTCTGTATTCACAAAAGTTCACATGGAGTCTGGCTAGATAGTTATGCATATACTGGCAATTGAGGCACCTTCCTTGGTTTTATCTGCATCGTAAGCTTAGATGATGTCCCACAGTATCTGCTTTGCATCCCCTGAAGGACCCTGGTGGGGGGGTTGAGCTCCCTTTTTCTGTGATTCGTATTTCTCTAATTTGATCCTATATCCTCATTGTCATTGAACTGTACTAGGTCTGCTCTTGGCTTCTCTTCATGCCTCCCAGCTCCTGGGTGGCTGAAAGGGAAGACAGGCTTTTTTTTGTGCAGCGGCAGGCAGAAAGCCCTTCCTTTGTGGCCATGGAGCAGCTGGAACCTGGGAACTAGGGAGTAAAGCACCAAAAAGATAAGGCAGTACTAGGAGAAGATTGGCTGAAATAACCTTTAACCTCTGCCTGACTTTTCCCTTTGAAGTCCTGTCCTGTTTCCATTCACCCTGAATGCATGTTTTCAGTGCCTATGTGAGGAGCTCTGATGACCCCACTGTTATCTCTTGTTTTTCAAGAGAGTCAGAAAGGGCTCTGAGCTGCCTGTAGCAGTTACTTGTGCTACAGAATCCACATGCATTCCTCTGAGCATCTCATACAGAAAACTCCTCTGGTTCACCACAAAAGAAGACATTGGGGCTTGAAAACAAGACAGGTCATTCAGGAATTCTTAGGTGGTGGCTAATGTCAGCATCAGAAAAGGCTGCAGACAGACACACAGAGCACTTCAGACAAATCCCTTTGAAATCAGCCTTTTCCTACTGATGCAAAACACACTAAAGATAGGCAAAAAAAAAAGAAAAAGAGGGGTGGGACTAAGAGGAAATAACATTCCCCTCAGCATATTTTTATTGAAGTCTGTTTAATTTTAAAAAGTCAATGTATGTGTCTCTGGGGCTTCCCTCAGCATGAAAACTAGCATGCCAAAGAAAGAGCCTGCATTTGCATGATAAAAAAACAAGTTAAGGAGCTCTTCTGGAAGGCAGCTGTCTTATGTGTAGTGGCTAAAATATTCTAAGGCATGATGAATGTAGAGGAATAAATAAGAGTTGGTGTCTCTCTTGTGCTTAGCTCTGGCAGTTACATGCTGTCACCTACTGGGCTCCTACTGGCTCTTGGAGCTTGGCTACAACCACTCCTATGTCTAATTTGCTATGAAGTACAATGAGTATAGTATCTCAGAAGTACTCAGGTTGCTCTCTCTCCTTACTATTAATTTCATCTTTGTCCTGGACATCTGTCTTAGGCTTCCCCTGCTCGCCGGGTTCTTTTTCTCTTTTGTGTTTACATTGTTTGTTTTTACCATCCTTCTTCCCCTGGCTGTCACTCTTTTCTTCTGCTTTTTCAGGTTCTTCAGATTTATTTGTGTTGCTTTCATTTTTTTCCCTTTCCATGGTCTTCTGATCCACACAACCGTCTGACTCTGGACTTTTTTCTATATAAACCAAAAGTAATCAAGATTTAATTAACAAAAATTTAATATCCTTTTATCTCTAGAGGTATTTTGAGGAAAAAAACATAGTTCTAAGTCTTGAGTTTTCCAAGGGCATTAACTATCAGTGTTTTACTCAGGTTAGGAATACAGCATTCAAAACCATCTAGCTTAAAATCTGCTTCATGGTGTCAAGATCAGATATTTAAGAAAAATAGCTGACAATATTACAATTATAGACTCAGAGTCTGAGTCTGACTCAGGATCAGTAAGATCCTGACTAGTATTAGGCACATGTTTTACATTTTATCCATGCAGCTCTAGACAAAGTTCTCAGCACATGAGGAGAAACACCATACAAATATTTCCCAGATGTACAGAGAGTGAGAGGAATTAAAAGAAAATTAAAACGTTAAATGAAACGCAAATTGCTAAACTGCTACTTAGATTAAGAGCACCAGGCCAAAATGAACGAGTTGGTATTAACTTCTAAATAAGAATTTCTGGCTCTCCAGTTACTAGCTCTCTAGCTACCATGAAGGAAAACAGTCACATTGGGTCAGGCTTGAAGCAGGAAGAAGCAGAAGCCTCTGAAAAGACTGTTTACATAACACAAATTCAAGCTGGCAATCTGGAGTGAAACTAGCACAATTGTAATTTATCAGATGTCCTAGGACTTATTTTTGTTCTGAAACTTCACCATTATTTTCTGCTATAAGGAGTTTTAGCCCACAAAACTATATACAATTACCTGCTGCACAAATAGCAACATGAGCAAGTTCACTGCATCACCTAAAATGTTCAAGGGGGAGAGGGATACAAGAGTGTACTGAGAGAAGAAATTTTTGAAAGTACCAAGATCAGCTTGGTACCAGTTCAGCTTCATTTTCAGACATGAATTTATATGATCTGACATTTCTTATCCATTTTTCCTCCCAGTACATTAACCAGCTATGATAAATTAACAAAAAGCTCAGTATTATCCTTGAAGAAAAGATAGGAATTGTGAAAAGTTCCTCAGTTGTTCAAGTAAGCTGAGCCACTGAAGAGTGGTAAGAATCACAGTCTCCTAGCAAGGAGTTAATCAGAGATGACCTTTCCCACTGTCCTTGCTTGAGAAAACCCAGGGTAATGCATTGTAGAAGAGAGCATGAAATAAGGATGAACACAATCAGGATACTTGAGATAATAATAGAATAATTTAGATTATTCTATTTAGAAATTACTTCCAAAGACTTCCAGTTCAATCCTCAAAAAATATGACCAATTCAGATCATGACAACTATCTCCAAAGATGGAGATTTCACAACCTTTCTGAAAAACCTGTTCCAGTGTTCTAACCACCTTCATAATAAATACTTTCCTTATATTGAACCTGAATTCCTGTTTTCCAGCTTATATCCATTGTCTCTCATCCTTCCCCTAGACACATCTGAGAAGTCTAGCTCTTTTGAGCTTTCTCTCTTCAGGCTGAGCAGACCCAGCTCTCTCAGCACCTCATATGTTACATTCTCCAGCTCCTAATCAGCTTGCTGGCTCTTTACTGAGCTTATTCAAGTTGGTACAAGGGTGGCATAGATTGTGATATTGCTTAGAAAGTAAACAGACTTCAATTAGTGTCAAACTGGATAGAAAAGAATCAGGTTTAGAAAAGTAGGGAACCTCAGTGTAAGATTAACATTTCATGGATGTTGTGCTGAGCAATAAGAACTCCTTGAATGTCTCAAAAGGTGTTGGTTACAGAGTGGGGATTTGATGCTGCTTGTTAAACCAGACTTTAAAGGCTCTCAGATGGAACAGTGGCTAATCTCTAATGACTCTAATGACAGCACGCCACTCCAAGTTCAAAGGCACTTGCCAAGACTCCCAGTGTACGGCAGTCTCTCACCTTTGCAGCAGCCCAGATAATGGAAATATTGTGCAGTCGCCTTTATGCAGATCAGTGAAGTTATTTCTAAAAAACAAACTTTTAAAAGAACTCACCATCAGCAGTTGCTGTTTTCTCAGCTTCTGGGCTTCTGGAGCCAAGCCAATAGGATTCCAGCACAGGGAAATACCAAGGCTGTGGTAACCCATAGTCCCCTAAAACAAAAATAAATAGGCAAAGTGCACTTCATAATTCCATTCTGCAGTAGGCATAAATTCATCTAAGCACTTGCAGTCCTAGTGTTACATACCAGAAGGTCAAACCATGTACCGAGTACCTGACAGAACAGATTTTGTTCACAGATGATTTTTTTCTTTTGGACAGCAGTAAAATATTCAGAAAATAAATGGCCTTACCTTACCTTGTCCTAAGTAGAAAGTGGTTTGATTGCAGAATGAAGCTATTGCCTGAATCCTTACCAACCAGGCAGCAGCTCAGTGCCTAAGATGGGATCCTAGACTCACTCAGGGACTTTCTTTCAATGCCCATTTAACACTTGAGGGCTGACATGACTGAAAAGCTTTTTAAATTTACACTTACTACCCTGGGGCTAAATTTACAACTGGTAATGAGAAAAGACACACTGCTATTTTAGCACATAGCCTTTCAGGAAAAGTGACAACAGTGTATTCCTCTTCTTAAACAAAAGTGGGCTTTTTTAGTTACAGGTTAATTCAGTTTCGATAAGAGACAGCACAATAACATTAACAGTTCTTGGTAGATCAGATCAGAGTTACTGGAAGTCAACACTGCTTTCCTGGATCATATTGATTTATAGAATGCAGGAATTTAAGTTTCTATGATTAAAACTGGCTTTGTGAACCCAGATGTTATTGGACTTGTGCTACCTATTCAAAATAGGCAGGGGGGAGCTGTGATACTCACTGAAAGATGGTCGGTTTTATTAATTGAAAACCACTACTTATGAAAGTGTCTGCTTACTTCTGAACGAACAGAAATAACCTGTGTTTCAGCCAACCACTTGTACTCCTACTCATGTACAGAAACGCTCTGTCTGCATTCACAGTTTGCCTTGCTGTGGACAAAGTATTCCTCTCTAAAACTGGTGGCTAAAACAACAGCTTCTCACTCAGGATGAATGCAAAACCCAGATGAAATTTGTTATGGAGCAGAATGCTCAAATAGCCAATGGGCCATTGAGCCAATGGGTGGTTGGTTTCAGAGCAGACTCGAGCAGGACTAGAACCAGAGGGTTCAAAGAATTATCCAGTGAATTCCTGCAGTAACCTACAGCATTGATTTGGCAGGGCTGCATATATGTGTAAACAGAGAAATGCTGTGAGAAATTCTACAGAAACAGAGCAGCAGAAAGACAAGACAGAGCAAATATTGGGAGGAAGTGAAGCTACTTAACTAGAAGCCCTGATAGAGGCTACTTTTGTGTAAAGTCCTGACAGAAAAAAATGAAATTGTATCTATGAATGAAGAAATTTCTATTGTTTAATTCCTGTTGTGTTCATGCAAATAGTCCATTATCCACACAAATAGTCCACTCTTCTTTAAACAAACAGAGTTGCAAAAAAGAAAAAAGAAAAAAGAAAAAAGAAAAAAGAAAAAAGAAAAAAGAAAAAAGAAAAAAGAAAAAAGAAAAAAGAAAAAAGAAAAAAGAAAAAAGAAAAAAGAAAAAAGAAAAAAGAGGAAAAGGAAAAGGAAAAGGAAAAGGAAAAGGAAAAGGAAAAGGAAAAGGAAAAGGAAAAGGAAAAGGAAAAGGAAAAGGAAAAGGAAAAGGAAAAGGAAAAGTCATCTGCCAAGAGCCAAGAACACCTTCTGCAGTTCACATGCAGGAGTAATAAATTAATGAAAAGAAAGCTCACTTGCCTGTACAGCATAAGAGTTTGCATTTATTATATTGTAACAGTATTCAATATGAAGCAAGATAACCATTTAAGTTAGAAGGACAAATCATTTTTTTCACACAGAAGGTTCCAGAATTTTTGTAATTGATAACAAAGAAAATCCTTTTGTGACTTCATACTAGAATCATGATTTCCATTTAGAAGTAAAATAAATCCACATAGGAACTATTACAACTGCCAATGACACAGCATGTGTCTTAGGAAACAGTACAATCCTTTAAGAAACAGCTTGCATAATGTGGCAAGGTATATATGTGAATTAGAATGGTCAAATCCATATTTTTAAAAATTTAAAGAAATCTCACTAGAAATGGTTGAAACTTATCAAAAGAAAAGTATGTACACAAACTGGATTTTAACAGATGATGTTTTTGTGGTTTATTTTCCATTTAAATTATAAAACAGGAAGAGAAATCACATCCTCCTTTTTACTTTCTTCCTTTTTCATTCTTTTCAGGAATAACACAGGAGAGAGAAAAAAGAAAGAGAGAACAGTGGAAGTTCTTAATAAACCAGTAGTGCTAAACTGGATAAGATTCATAGTTTACAAGGTCAAACACCCTGTTTCTGCCAGTGAAATACACAGAGACTGATTAGACTAACACAGTTAACTGCAGCTACCACTACATTGCATGAATAAGAAACTGACGTACCTGGAAAAACATTATCGAGATACCAGGCAAGTATTCCATAGAGAAAAGCATCAAAAAGCATCATGTTAATGGAAAAAAGGAAACTATATTCATCTCCTTCCAAGGGACTGGTTCTGATGTTACCCCACTGTAGGCCAAGACCTTGTTCTTCATAGCGTGACAAGTATTCTGTACCAAACCCAAAGGCTACTTGAGAAAGAAAACTCTGGAATAAAGGAAAAAATGACATTCAGCCTGACAGGGGGACACTTTGTAAAAAACCCCCAAAACAAATAAGCAAACAAAAAATCACCATAGCCACAAAACAAAAAAACCCAAAACAACCTCACCCCACCCCAACTCTTAGGGACTGGACTTTAAAACTTGCCTAGCAAATGACCTGAGAAAAGTTGTTTCACTTTTATATTGGCTTATAATGTTTAATTTTCTGTAATTCTAAGCAGTATTTAGCTGTAATAGACTGAACTCAACCTTGCCTGTACTCTCTTTAACTACTAGGCAAGCTTCACAGATTAGTTTTTTTCTTCATTAATGTCTGTTTTGAAAATACTATAGGTGCACCTAGAAGTTTGCAGTGTACACCCCTGACTATCTAGGTGAAACAAAGTATTTTCTGAGTGTATGAGGCAGGGCCACTATGAGTGACATGACAGAGAATACACCAGATGATCAGGATATGGAAAACCACAACTGCTTCCCCTGTCATGTCCGCTAGCTGATTCTAACACAACAAACTAATAAACCAGTAATTTACACTTAGTTTATAACTTTATACACTTATTTACAACTTTGGAAGCATTTTGATTTCTTTTTCCTTTTTCCTTATATTTCCTAGTGCAAGAAGAGAAGACATTTCTTTACCTATGCTGTTAGAATGCTTGGTAAAAATGGGGAGTCTGAACTCAAACACCCGCTCCCCTTCCTGACTCATTGGGCAACATAAAATCATTCTGAATAATTTTGTAAGATCATGGTTCCATCTCAAAAAACAGCAAGAAGTTTCCAGCTCCTCTGACTTGTTAAGTATCTTACCTAAAATGGAAAAGAACCAACAAGGAAGCACTGCATGTAGAATATCTACAACTTGTTATATGAAAGGTATTTCTCAGAGCTTTGGCACTGGCGTTCAATTGCTAACTTTTTGGTTCAGGTAAATAAGGAATGTGAACCTGAGGTTTTCTCATCCTTAGACATAGGGTGCTAACTAGGTTATAGTACATAAGAAAGATAACTGTCCCCATTTTGTGAATTGCCTTTATATTTATTAAACATACCAGAAGTTAGATTTTAGTATGCTAATTTCCTGGAGTTCAGAACAAAATAAATTTTATTGAATTTTCTAAAAGCTAGGAAGATATCTCTTGCACTAGGCCTGCTAAAGGCTTCCACATTTGCAACCCTTAATTATTTAAGAGGATTAAGAAGTCTCCCTCTCTGAGTCAAAAAAGCCAAGAGGAAGAGGTGTGTTGTGATTCACATATGCGCTGTGAGAGGGGGAGCAGAGATGCCATAGAACCAGTGAAAGGCTTACTGCTAGGATCTTCAGATTAATAGTCAGACGGTCTTGCCAGACAAAGCAGATGATGTGGGGCAGGTACAAGGTGAAGTAGATGACTCCACTGCAGGCAGCTGCCAGATTTGCTTTGGAAAAGAAGGTGCTGAACAAGAAACACTGCATTATGGTGGCTGTGGTGAATGTCAGTAGGAATAGAAAGAAGAGAAGTGGATTGCTATAATGCAGCACTTGTCCATACTGTAAGCAAAAGGAAAAGAGAAAATTTAAAAGCTGCTTTAAAATTTTAAAAATTTAATTGCTGCTTTCTGCTAGCAGGAAGATCAGAATTGCTATTGACATGTAATAGGCAAAGAGTAATAAGCCAGTCTTTCTTAAATAATATGACTTCTAACTCTCCCAGGTATTAGTTTCAACCACTGAGGTCATTACAATAACAAATCCTTCATCTAATTTTATCCCTGCTCTTGGATTGTGACTTTGGGTTAGTACAACAGAATGAACAAAAATCAAAACTGATTGAAAACAGATATTCTGTCCCTGTCTTAATAAGTAAATGATTTCAAGCAAGATCTGCCTCCTTGAAAACTCATGCAGTTTAAAATTCTTTGGAATATTACAATAAACTTTCATTTATCTCTTTGCACCATCCCCTCAATCCACTTGCTTGATGTGCGGAAAAGACAAGGTAAGGAAGTGTTACAAAACACATTTAAAAAAAAACCCACAATAAAACCACAGGAAAATTATAAAGTTTCTGCACCTGATGTTATTCAAACAGAAGCATATCACATCTGAGGAATCCAGGTGCAGTTTCTCAGAGATCCTTGTGTATTAACTGACACATTGGGTGAACTTTTATTGACCTTTCTTCATTAGAGCTTTTGTGGATTAAATGCTCTCTCTTGAGAAGAGCAGGAACTGCTGCCAATTATCTATGTAGTCTTTAAAACCAACGTTGAGACCTATTTATTAGGTCAATTTATATAATGCTCAAATAAATCTTTAAGGCTATAAATAGGTCTCAGCATTGTTGCAACATCCCGCTGGGCCTTAGAGACTGACTTCTTTACCAACAGGGATGCAATGTCTCCTAAGGATGTATTTACAAAGGTGCCTCACACTGGCATAGTGATATATGGGAAAGAAAGTTAATTACAGGTATGAGCACATTCCTCTCCGATATGAATTACCCCCTGATTTTTAATTAAACCAGTGTGGCAAATAAAGTGAGTTTTCTGTATCCACCCAAGCTGCAATTGAAACACCAGGAACTACAACTCATCAGGACATGCTGGTAAGACAGAGCAGCTTGAACCCTAAGTATGTATTTATACCAATACCAGTTCCCCACAACAGAAAAGATGCAAGGGCATTCTTCCTTATCAAAATGCTACACATTTATATGATAAAATTTAGCAGCAAGCTCTCAATATAGAGCTTGGTTCTCAGGTAGAGGATAATAGGTAGTCCACAGAGACAACATCTTAACTGTCCTGAAAAGTTATAAAAATTACAGGAATTCTGAATCACTGGAGCAAATGGTGGATTCTTTTTAAGGTTTTCCTGAAAGTTCTGTTCTTACAGTCTCTTTTTCTATTGAAAAAATTGCAGTTTCTAAGCAGACAAGCACTGGATATTAAAAATTAATCACATACTGTGAATTACAAGACAAAAATTCTGCAAATTATTATCTCTTTGATTTAAAGCAAACTATTATTTATTGGGAGACCTGCATCTGCCTACAGAAAATACAATATACAGAGTAACCAACCTGATGTATTTTCTATGAGGAATCTCACAATTAATCTTTACTAGTGAATTTATTGTTCTGTCTCTGCCAGGTGCTGATGCTGTTGTATCTGCTTAGAAGAATGTGCATGCTGTGATCAGAACAGGCCTCCACCCTTCCCATCTCCCTATCAATGGCTACTGTTGTTTCCCAACAGCAAACTGGTGTCAGGAGTGCAAACACAAGAGTGAGTTTGAGAGTAGCAATCTTTACCATAATCAGAGCTGTGAGGAGGCATGTGCTCACAGCCATCATGGAAAAGCTGTCTAGGAACCAAGTGCACCAAATCACGCCGTTGGTCATGCCCCTGTTCTTCATAGCCTCTTTCAGGCGCATTTCCTTCTCCAGCACTATACTCTTCACAGTCATGGAGACTGAATATATCCAAGCTAGCACCATGAAGATGGGAAAGGCGCGGTTTAACGTGATCATGAAGCTACCAAAGCAAGAAGGAATAAATTAAATTGAGGTAAAACAGAGAAATATTAGATGAAAAGCAATAACTAAAAGGAAAAGGAGTGGGAAAGAGTGCATTAATTAAATATGGAACTGTAAATTCTCAGTCCAAACATCAATAGCATGTCACTTGTAAACCTCACAAGCATCCTAAATATTAATAAACTAATGGTTTCTGCATTCCCATGAGACAGATGAATGTTATTTCTATTTTACAAAGAGTTTCTAAGGGTTATTGAAGGCTACAAAATATTTGGTGCCTCATGAAAATACATCTCTCTTCACAGCAAATTTCCATAATGCTTTTACCATGATCTACAAAGAATATTTTAAGACATATGTCAATGTTAACAATCTGGAAGTGTCACTGTTTTTCTGCTCCTAAGAGTCACTGACAAGAGAATTAACCAAAATAATTATTAAAAGCATCATATGTTGCCAGCAAGGCTGATGAAATTCGTACAAACCATGAGTCAGGGTATTGGATCTAGCTGAGATAGAGTTAATTTTCCCCATGGCAGCCCTCAGAGTGCCAGACTTTGCACGGGTAGCTAGAAAGGTGTTGATAATACACCAGTGCTTTGTCTGGGCAGTGTTGGCACAGCACCAGAGCTGTCTCTCCAACATTCCCACCTCACCAGCAGGTAGGGGGTGGGCAGAATATTAGGAGCTGACACAAACTGACCAAAGGGATATTCCATATTGTGTCTGCTCAGATATAAAATACAAGAAAAAGGAGGAGAAAGTGGGAGGTATTTGATATTTACAACATTTGTCTTCCAAAGCAACTGCTATGCATGCTGAACCCCTGCTTCCCAGTAAGCAGCTGGACATTGCTGGATGGGAAATAGTGAATAAATCTTTGGGTTACTTTTTTTTTAGCTTTAGTAAAGAGCCTTATCTCGACCTACGAGTTGTATTCCACCTTAATTTCTTCTCCTTTCTTGCTGAGGAAGAGGGTGATAGAGAGGCTTGGTGGGCACCTGGCCACCAAGGTCAGGTGAGGCCAACTCACTGCAGCCCTTGGCACCCAACACAGGCTGAGTCAGAGGCAGTTTTCTATTAAGCATGTTATAGTTACAGGAGTTATTAAGCAAGGTCCTGTTCAGGACAGTTTGTCAGCTGCACTGTTTACCTCTTTATTTTGCTTAGTCTGGGAACACGTTAACATAAAAAATGTCTCCCAGGCATGGATGGCCTTGCTGTGCCGGGGAGTTATCTTGAGAAGAAGATGAAGGAATACATCTCCCTCTCCCTAGTTAGGATTGATGTGGATGGTCTTATTATTCAGGCTCCCAGAGTACTTGTTCATCCTTACGTGAGCTGTTCAATAATACTGATCAACACTGCTATGTATTACGGGGTTTGTGGAATCCAGTGTTGATTGCTTAAAGGCCAAAAGCTCATAGCTGCTAAAAACAAGGAGCAAAAGGTCTTCAGCTTCCTAAGTGTGAGCCCTATAGAACCACCTTTTTCCCATGTTATCAAAGCTACTTCAGTGTCAGAACAAAGGGGAAATCTTCAATTTTTCTCCAAAAATTCCTGAAAAGTGATCTGGTCTGGAGAAACAAAGCCATGCTTTTGTGATATGGCCTAGGGCACACTGAGTTTTGCCTGTGGTGGGCATATGTAACATGCACAGCACAGAGTTACTGTGAGGGTGCACTTGCCTCACTTAAGCAGGGTCTCTTAGAGGCCGTCACTGAGTTTGGGTACCAGCCCTGAGCTGTATGTGGCTACTGCAGGCTTCAGAGAACTTTTGCGCAGATGGGGTTTCTGCCTCTGCACTGTTCTCAGTGGGGAAGAAACAGACAGCAGGCTTGCCAGGGTGATGTTTTGTCTGACCAACACATAATGACTGATGGGAATGACTGGTCAATCTATGTGTATGCCATTTTTTTTTACCAGAAGTAGTATAATTTTCCTGCACAGAGCACACTGACAGAACTATGAAAAGATTTCTCTAATGCCTTTTTTTGAGTGATACTCCAGGACAGCTGGAGTATCAGACTGCAGCATTGGAGCAGGCACACTGTGAACAGGGAAGAAAATTGGAATAAACCTGCTGCTTTTAAGGGCCTAAGGTATTGAGTTCATTTTAAGCCTGGACACTGGATGCAACAAAGGCCAGGAGTGGGATTAGGGGTAGAATCTTGGCAAAGGTGGCTTGTGGAGTCTGGTTATGACAGGATAAGGAAAAAACCAAATTAATCCAGACACGTCTCAGTTATCACTCTTGCATTTATACCCTAGGACATTCATAACTTAAGGTTAATTCTGGTGCTTGAGAATTTCAAGAATATTCAACAATCCAAGTATTCAATACAATTAAGACAAACTGCTTTTACTCACACATCATCCACAAAACATGGATATGGCATTTGTTGCAGATAAATTCCCAATGGAACTTCAGCGCTGGTCTGGGTCTTTATAATCCCATGCTCAATCATGTCCTGGAGATATGCAAAGCCTCCCCAGATATAACGTAAATCATCCACAGGATCAGCTCTTGGACCAGGATCCCAGTACCTCAAAAGAAAATTCACATGGAAACCATTTGGGTAAGCAGTGACTTTAGGGAAGGGTTGTGGGGAAAATAAATAAATAAATGAATTAATAAATTAAATAATATTAGCAACTGAAATTGTAGGGGCACTGCCTGAAGTTGTCTTTTCTAGACTTTGGTCTATCAGACCATATTGCTTAAGAAAGTGGAAGGCTTCATTTTTTCCTTTCATTTTCTCTGCATTGACTTGGAATAACAATTTTGGCCAAAAATGTACATACATTAGTCATGCAGCAGAGTAACTGCTCTAGAATAGAAATAACTGTATTTAGAATATGGTATCCTTGGAGATTAAACGGGAACAACTGGATTGCAACTACCAGATACCATTATATTATTCTGTAGACAATCCTGGGAAATTATATCCCTTTAAGTGAGTCTATTTGGTGGGGACTTGAGGAGGAACAGCAGAGAAACTCTGCTGTCCAGGTGGAGGACATCTGAGTCACAATCCATGTGGGACTTCCTTGTCTGTCTTTCCCAATGATGGGACCATCTGAAAACTGAAGCAGGTTACTGAACAGATTCTGAGCAGAGTCATCCCTTTGCCTTGTAGTCCTGCACGTACCCATTGTGTGGCTTGTCACTAGAGTGATGCCACTCCTGTTAGTACCTGGTTACTGGAGATGGATTCTGTGCTGCACTACAGAGTAACTATTAACAAATACAGTTGGATTTCATGGATGTATCCAACACAGGTTCTAACACCCTTATGTCTCTCATGTTGTGTCAGGGAAGAACTGAGAACTGTCAGGCAAGTACCTGTCTTTGATTTTGTTTGTTTTCTCCACTGAGTCTATGTCCATTCGGATCTTGTATGTCACGTGTGGTGGGAGATTGCTGGCTGTAGGTTCTAAGTCTGGAAAAACCACAGCAGCCCATAATTTGTTTTCCTCCAGAAGATAAAGGGCTTGACGAGTCAGTTGAGTTTCATCATGATAACCTTCGAATTTATCCAAGGTCAAACACTACAAATAATTAAAAAGAGAAAAATTACATGGGAATAAAATAGGAGGAGGTATACATTAAAGCAAACATCAGTGGTTGAAAACAGAAAAGGAAAGTAGGTTCAACTGAAACTGTTGTTATTTTCAGCTTTATGATGAAACTATTAAAAGTTGACTCTCTTCTCCCTTCTTCAGCCTAGAAAGTACCTGAGTGAAAACTGCAGAGCTAAAGGATGACTGATCTGTAAGAAAAGAACACTGGCTGTGGACTTCAGATGAAAAGCACTTTGTCAAGTGAAGCACTGGGAAAAGTCAGAGCATACATTTAAATTTTAATGTCTCTTAGGTATTTCAACATTTACTCCTCTATAAACCAGACAAGTTATTTTTTTATCTAACTGGTCATCTTTTGTCCCTGCTGAATTCTGACATGATTTACCTGCTGACTTAAGTTAACATGTAATTTTTATTGTCTATCTCACCAAAATAATGTCTTCTTTCTTAGTCTCTGTCATTACTACAAACTGTGTTCTTATCAATGCACATACAAGACAAAGACTCATCAAAACCTAAGTTTGTTCTGTTCCTCCATTTAAGTCCTACTTAGCAGGCATTATAAAACAAAAATTGTGAATGCTATAAATTCTAGCATTAGTTCTCTGCAAAATTACAGATTTATGTTTGCATATTTAGCTTCTGCCCTTCAGAATTGGAAAAATATTAACAGAGAGTAGAAGTATTTAACCCCTGATGGACTGGAAAGATACTTATAGAATTCCTTTGCTTCATAAAATTCCAACAGGCTAACTTCGTTTGATCTTATCTTCTTGATCATTTCTTGCAAGCCAGTAACTAAAAATTAGTTCACATCAAAGGGCTCACACTGGTAACTTGTTATTTAAACTTAAAGACTCCTTTACTTAACCTTTCCCTGTGAGAAATCATGCTCTGTTTCCTTTAAAACTTATACTATCACAGCTTAATAGGATCTCCATGAAAATATATTTTTTTTACTCACAGCAGAACATTGGTTAAATTGATAACACTATTTTGTGGCTCTATTCTTCCTGGTTTTTGTAGGTGTTCATTTTCCTTTTTGCTTCAGAAAAACAAAATATGTAGAATTTCATATCAGAAAGCAAAATAAGGAAGAAAACTTTGCATGCCAGAAGGGAAATAAAATCAGATTCATGGCTCAGGTTGCATTAATTTTTTTGGGATACATTTATCCCACATGGTGTTAACTGAGTTTAGGAATTCAGTTTAGCTCTTGCGAAGGTGGCAGTGTGTGCATAACAAACCCCTACTGTGGAACTGTGTCTTTTCAGGGTCTGGAGGATTACTTGCTGTTTCTTTATCAGGAGGAATTATTTTCAAGAGACTTATTTCAGCTGCAGAAGAGCTCAGACAATTCTCCAGTGGAATCTGTGAGAATGATACTAGCAAAGTACTGACAGCAACTGAACTTGTCTAGATTCTCAGTGCAGAGCAGACAGTGCCTGGAGTGGGCTGAGGAGCAGCCTAGGCTCTTATCCAGGGGTCAAGTAAAGGAAGCTGTATGTGTTCAAAACAGAAAACACAAATGATTATAGATCTTCTCAATGAGTAGAGTGAAACCAAAGCTTGCGTAAGAATATAGGCCAAGACAGGAGTGGTGCAGTAATTCACACAGTTTGAAAGTGAAGACACATTTCATACAGTAATCTATGAGCCAAAAGCTAGGATTTATTTGTTTTAACATGAATTGCATTCAAAACAAAAGCTGTATGCTCTACCTGGGTTTTTCTTTCTCCCCAGTGAATTGAACTCAGTTTGAGTCTTCATAAACCTCACTGTATCAAAATTAATCTATCAACTGATTGGGGAAATTTATTTCAAATCTCCTCCCAGTCATTATTTAACAATTTTAAATGGTCCAATGAAAATGGGAAAATCAAAACCAAAATAGTAAGACCAGGTTTGGAAGACAAAACCAGACAGTAATAAACATAAAGAGGTGACTGTGCAGCTCTGACTAAGAGTGTAGCTGTTCTGTGGCCTAAGGTAATCAAAGGGAAGAACAGGAAATTCTTAGGGTGATGAGGAGAAGCAATTTGTGGGATTCTCAGCTGCATCACAGTTTGCAGTAGAGAGTTGGAGTCACCAAAGATCAGTGCTAGCAACACACCTGTCCATACTGCATGCTATGGTGGTAAGGAGCAGGCTATTCCCCAAAGGGAGTATTTGTTACCATTGTGTCTGGTACAGTGGGATAACATTCCCAAGCGCTTACAACTTGTGTAAACAGCAGACTTTAAAGAATAAGGTCATTACAAAGAACATTAAGACACAAAGATCTGTTACCAGGTAGAGTAACTGTTCTGATCTTATTGATGTTCCAGCACTGACCTGCTGCACACAATATATTTCACTCACTTTGTATCACAATAACATGATAGAAAAAGATCATTAAATGAATCAGCAGAGCTTTGTGCAAAGCCTTTATTGCTCCTTCTTGTACTAGCTGTAGGAAGGCAGATAATCTTTCAGTTCCTGCTTTCTTGCAGGGGACAAGTGGTTTTTTAAACTGAACTGGATTTAAATTAGGAGTTAGATTTAGTCTTGTTGCCTATACCTAGTACAAATTTTCTCTTGAAAATCCTCAGAAGGCACCACTTGCTAAAGAGAGGTACAGAGTGCAGGAAAGAGACAAACTTTTTGTCAGAGGTGACCACAGAACAAGTGGAAACTCCCTTATTTATTTCAATGGAATTTTGATCAGGTGCTTAGAAACCTGCAAGGGGACTTACCAAAGAACTGTTAGTTTCTCTGCTCCTGACCTTGCTGAAATTAGTGGCCTGTTGGTTATTAATACTTATGAAATAACATTTCTTTGAGGTTTTGCATTCACTTTCTGCCTCTCAGCATTGAAATGTGTTCAGACATTCAACCAACATTTTGAATAAAGCATTTGAAGATCATAAAATTGAACTTCTTTTAATAATAAGTATTCACGTACTTGCACCACTATATTATTCTAAACACATGCATTTAATAATGAAATTCAACTTGAAACAAACAAAGATTTTATGATTTTAACTTTCTTGTCTGTTACCACAGACCGAAGTACCACCTAACTGGTTTTAAGATATCCTCTACAACTATTCTCTGAAGAGGCAGAGCCAAATTTACCTCCAAATACTGACTGAGCAAATGCAGAACTTGGTCTACAGCACTGAAGATGTTCCGCCAGTCAAAGTCCACCATTCCCTTCTCCCGGTTCCTTGAAGATCCATTATGGAGAAAGTTGATTATATGTTCCGCGGTGAAGCCTTCCGCACCCATCTGGCTGTTCAGGAAGTCCCTCACTGTCGGGTGCTTCAGAGAGTCCTGAAGAAACACATCATGATAGTTTTGTCACAATGATTGTCTTTCCCTGTTTAGCTAGAAAGGTTTCCACTTCCATAACTCCTTCAACATATGAATAAGGGCAAAAGGGTATGCTAAGGAATCAATTTTACAAGTGGATAATTGCATAACTGGATGTGTGATCTGAAAAATGGATGAAAAGAAATTTTTCCTTGACTGTTTATTACATTCTTTCCTTATAAGCAAGAGGATGAATGTTATAAATGCCTAATACAATATAGAAAAACTGCCTTCTTTGCCTATATGGAATTCACGAAAATCAAGTTGTCTGCTTTTGAAAGACATTTTGGGGAGGCAAGGAAGTAGCAATTTCTGCCTTTATTAAGAAGTCATTAGCCAGATTCTTGACTGCCTAGATCTGAGGTTTTGCCACTGAGATGCTGTAATGCATCTATGACTTGCCTTCAAACCAAGCCCAGCAGCCAACAGCCTTAAAGGCCACAGCTTCCTTGCTGCAAAGGCTGTGCTTCTGGCCAAACCTTTCAAATTAATTGTTTCCTCTATTAATAAAAATAAAAGATGGTGAAAGGCTGCTCTTACTGAGGATCTTTGAAAAATTATAACGTACACGGATCATATTCATTTGCAGGCTGTTTTGAAAGAAGTACCACAGCTGAGGTCCTACTTCCTCCCAAGCTTTGGTCAACAGTTGGAGGCGTTCAAGTTCCTCAAAAGTGGAGTTTGCCTGATGAAAAAACCAGCAGAAAAGAGTGTTAGAAACCTAAGGAGACAGACAGAATTTATCATTCATCCAGGATTTGGTGACAGGGGAATCCCTAACTTAGACAGCTGTAGTTTTTACCTTTTAAACTTAACCAACTTGTTCAAAGAGCAGAAATTTTAATAACCATCAGAAAAAGAATCTGTAAAATCAGCCAGAATCCAAGTCATTTAGGACAAAATTCTGTGATATATGTAATGGAAAAAACAATTGTACATTAAGACTAGTTAACTTCAATTCCTTTGAATAATCAGATTTTAGGTAGAATTATTTAGAATTTTTCCCCTTGATTATTTCTCTCCACTAAGAAAGATGATGACGTGAGTAGATGAATGAATGGAAGGCAGCTGGAAAAGACAGATACTCCCATAGCTATGATATTAAGACCTGAAATGCTGAGCTACTTTAAATCTGATGTTTTTCTGTGTGAATTCCGAGCAGCAGTTCTGTGCCTTGTACAGATCTCTAGAGTATTGAATTGCTGGTTATGAGGTGGCCAAAACCTTGGTCATATGCAACCTTGATTTAACTGTTCAGATTCATTTCACCCAACTTCAAGCATTTTGCTGAAGAGTCCAGGCTTTATCCTATTTTAATGAAGTGAAAATTCTTTATGATTTCAAAAGATAAAATAATTAACCATGATGTTGCTATTGGTTTGCAATTCTCAGTGTTAGTTCTCAATACGCTTATCCAAGCCTCACAGTTGCCCCATTTAAATATTTACTGGCAGAGAGCTGCTCATGTTCCTGCCTCTGTAAAATAAATATTGCTTACTATGTTCATTAGTGTGAATATGGAATCATGTCAACAATAAGCTGCTTGGGCAAGCTGGAAAAGCCATGCAGAGTGGACCAAGATGGGATGAATCAGTCAAGACCTGTCTCCCATTTTTTAGACAGAGTATCTGTCCTTCCTCTGAGGACCATGAGAACAAATGGAGTTTTGAGAAGAAAATTTGATTAGGCTGAGGTAATTGGGCGACTGTTTTTCAAAAGATGTTTCTTGGTACACAATTTTTTAGAAATATACATTTTTGCATTTCAGAACTTCTTACATTTTTTATGATTTCCCGTACAGAAGGTGAATCAGGAGCAAAAAGGATTTTTCCCATCAGCAGGGGCTTCACAGCAGTCCAGGCTATTTTGGTTAAAGGGTTTGATTCCAAGTTCTGGATCAATGCATTACAAAATGGTGCTACAGACAGAAAGAAAGAAAGACAGTCTTTATGTAACCCTACTGAAATCCTATCACACGTAACATCCTGGTGGGCTTTTCACTAGCAGTACAGACAGTTTGAATCTGAATGAGTAAAAACACATTCTGCAATGCAGAAGTACAATGACTGAATGGATAAAAAAGACTATTAAGTAGATACTGGAGTTGTAAAATATGCTATGGAAATTGGAAAAGCAAACATAAATAACTATTTGAAAGTTGCTGTTATTTATATGTGTTTCAAATGGAAGGAAACAACAGTTCTGAGACAACTCAGAACTCACTGAGCAGTTTGAGCTTTATTTGCTTTACTCCTAATGACTTAGCTCCTTTGTATTGTAGCTGTTACTGGTACAAAGCTGATCCTGTGGGCTTAGATGTTGAACTCCAGAACAGTTCAGAACTGGCTGGATCTTACAATAATTTAAAATGAAACATTTTAATGCAAATATCTTTACCTTACTCCTGCACTATGAAGTAATTAGTTTACTTGGCTAGCATTCAATTAATTTGTTTCCTGGCTGAAGAGATGGAGTGCTGGGCCTTTTAGAGGTCTTTGGAAATCTCAGACATAAGTAGAACCAAGTGTCGACACAAATAGTGGGAGGTAGGAGTCTCTGTAAGCAAAGTGCTCATCTGTACTTTGTAACCATGCAACCATATCTATCATAGCAGAAGGGACACAGAACTACCAGCTATAACATGAGTGGTAGTACAGAAAAAAACTGCTGGTGAGCTCAGTGTAGAGAAAAACTAAATGACAAACAGAAGGGGACATAATAGAAAGACAAAATAACAAACAGTAAAAAACTGGTACTTCTTTGCATTATATCCTTTTACAGTAGGAGGAAATAAATAGTGAGGAAATAAAAGCAGCAGAAATTGGTAAATTGTAATATTTTCTATGTAAAATGTAATCATGCTGTAGAACATACTACAAAATAGATGTACTTTTACACAGGAAGATAACAGTGACCATGTGTCAAATTGACTATTATTTGAAAAGAGAGATTTTTAAATTCCTGTGCCCCAGGCTATCAAACAAGTTACGAGAAAAAATAAAGTTTAAAAAAATAAAGAAAAATATTTTGGCAAAAAGTAATTCCAGAATGCCACACCATCTTTTCCTGAACCCTCTTCAGGGTCATCTTGTTCTTCCTGATATCAGTAACATATAATGGAAGATAAAACAGAGGGACTGTCTTAATTATGATCATGCCTATGTTTTTGCCTCCATATTAAAAGCAAGTGTATTCCTGTCAGTTCTCAATTCCTGAGCTTCTCTGCTTCCAGCTATGAAGTAAGTGTGAAGTAAATCCATTTCAACAGAATTCAACAACAGAATTCAACAACAGAATTCAACAGAACGACTAGGTTGGAAGAGACCTCTAGATCATCAAGTCCAACCCATACCCTAACACCACAACTAGACCATGGCACCATTTCACCTGAATCAACTGCTTCAAAATGTTATTTATAGAAGCAGCATTCTATGCTAGTACTTGAACATAAGGTGCACCTGTTGAGAGTATCTTAAGGGTTTGGTGGAAAAACTTACTGGTTGCATTATCATAAAGATAACCAGATTTCTTCCTTGTTGAGTCAATCCCCAGGAAAGCTTTGTAGTTGTTATCTTCATACCAGTTGAAGGAAAGCACTCTGGATCCACCTCCTTCTGGGTAGCCACAGAAAAGATCCGACAGGGAACTCACCAAGTGGCCTAAGGATTCTGGCATTCCATCTTGTACAAATGGTTGCAGAACCCTCAAAAGGTCCTGAACGCTTGGCTTCCTGGCCAGCTGCAGTAAGACAAGACTTGATTAATTGCAGCCCTCAAAGCAGGTAAGTATCTGGCAAGGTTGCAGTTGTGCCCAGATGGTAAAGTGTGAATGCAGTCAGAACCTCATCCTTTCATCTCCTCTGCCCTGGTCACAGGCACCATTTTCAGTTCTTGTTTTTGATATCTTTTCTGAAGAAAAGAATACACTTCAGAATTGCCAATGAGTATGTCCACATTTATTTGGTAATGAGAGAAGAATGAATTTTTAAGGAATCAGCTCTTCCCCTACAAGTCTATTTTCTTTCTGGTAAGGCAGGTAACTGGAACATAAAAACAACAAAGGAAAACAAGGACTATGAGCTATGGAGAAAAGCTATGTAATTTATTATTATGCCACTTACCTTTTGCACTGCTTGGGAGACATTAGACAGCACCCTCCCCCAGGCCTTCAGGTCAGCACCTGGTGAGTTTCTGTCCAACACAGTGGGAAGCTGTGGGTACATAAAAAATAGAGATGAAGTTCTACTTGACAACAGTTATAACAATGAGAAGAAAATCCAAACGGCAACTGTAGCTCAAATTCTTTGAGTTCTTTGGAACAATATCTTATAAGCCTCTCTTATGGGGCCAGAAATCCAGTTCCCAGACACACAGTAGTCTGTGTAAATGTTCTTTCTAATACAAGGCTGAAACAAACACAGGCCACTTAAAATATATATTGGGATTTGTTCTTCTCATCTAAATTCACCATGACAAAAGGTGCAAAAATGGAGGAGGAATGCAGGAACTGGGACATTTGAGAAGCTGCTTCTCACAGAGGTTATTCTTCCAGTGAGATATACAGACTCTTGGTAACTTCCAAATTTAGGTAAGGTTGATACAGAAGCCCCCATTTGCCACAGAGGTAAATAATTTGTAGAACTTTATATTTCAGAGATTTCATGATTTTGGATAGTCTGGTCCTCACTGTCTGTCAAACCTGAGAGAAACCATTACTTTCCCAGGCTCCTGCAGACTGACCAAATTTCCTTTTCAGTAGAAGGTAATATTTTATTTATCAATGACTTAAACAAGTGACACCATGGTGTGCTGTCACATACCACTTTGTTTGCATCAGTGCATCCTTTTTTGTCAGCTGTCTAAAGAATCACATATGCACTTGGAGCTGGCACTCTTGAGGCTCTCTCAGGCATTTTTTCTGCTATTACAATAAAATATAAAGCTGGACTGGTAGATAGCTAGACTGTGATATTTATGGGACAAGCCCCTAAAAAGCCTTCCCCAAAAATGCCTATACACCCTGCTGATTGCTTGCCATTCCCTTCAGTCAGTAGGTGGTTAAGAAAGCAGAAGTCAGCTGCACTGTGTATGTACCTGGCAGGGAGTCACAAAGCTGAGATCTTTTATGGAAAGCTCATGCTAGTGTGTTCTGATCTGTCACTTGACATTCAGGCAGGAAGAATTCATGCAGGGCTTCAAAATACACTCTTCCTTGTCCCGAAAGGGGAACCAGTCTGTGCAAAGATTATACAGGGTTCTTGGAGCACCTGCCTTAACCTGGTCTTTTTAAAACTCTGAGGAACAGGAATCGTAACCTGTAGAAAAGCTGGGCAGTACATCGTGAATATTCACATTAAGTCCTCAAATACTGAAAATCTATCTTAGAAATACTGTAGTATTAATTCTCTGCAAGCATAAGATATATGAAACATAAGACAATATATTTTTAGGAATGGAAAACAGCGGCTCTCAGAAGCTGACCACAAATCCTTATCAGGGTTGGTAAAATCACATGGGCACAATGACTGACTACAATAATCAAACTGTGTTTTGCTGGTATGGCAAATTACAGCTCCTGGCATCTTCTGTCCCCAGTTCTGGGCAACTCAGAACTGAACAAAATCCATGTTAAATTAATCATAGTGCTACACTTCTGTGGCAGCAGAGTCCAATCAATACTTCCTATGCAACTTGATGGTTTTTTCATATATCCTGCCTACTTCTATAAAGCCAACTGACAAGGTGATGGTTTCATGACATTACATTACAAGGTGAAAAACAGCAAATTAAATTCAGTGTTGAAAAATGCAAAGTATGATCATAGGGAAAACAAACATGAAAGACATATACACAGTGATGGACACTTAAGTTTGCTATCATGAGGAAAGAGGCCTTAGAGCCTTTATTAACAGTTCTCTGAAAGCACCACCTCAGTGTGCAGAATATAAATTAAATACTAGAAAAATATGCCATATTTATTTATTTGATATAATTTGTATTTTATTATATATTTAAAGTAATAATATTAATTTATGTTTACATATATAGCTAAAGTGGCATAATAACTCCATACTAAACCAAGGCTGCAGAAGTACGTAATTTATAGCAAGGTCACAGTAAAAACAGGAACACAAAGAAAGGCAAAGAAAATGAACAGAGGTAAGGAAAAGCTTCTGCAGAAAGAGTGATGAAAGCCAGCACAACTTCCTAGTTTGGTTGGTTTGGGTCTTATAAAAGTGGCTCACCAACTGTGAGTGGCTATGCCAACTCAAGCTACATTATGACTTTGACTATAGCATAAAATTCTGTCATGCTGGATGGAGCAAAGACAGAATGGGATGTATCAGGTATTTTTAGAATCCTCAGGAAGGTCCCTGTAGATTTTTCCACACACTGTTTTGCTACGCAGACTGGAAAGACCAGATAATATTTCAACACAAACTTAGATTTAAAAACTGCATTTGAATCTCTTAGTTCTGCTGTACTGTGAATTTAATCTGTTTCATCCCAAAACAAACTCTGAACTATCTGGTGTCCTGCTGCTGGTAGGTTAACAATTACCATCCATAACCTTACATTTGCAGAGGTAAATAAACAAAGACCACTTGGAACACTGGTGATGTATTACAAAAAATTCTTGAAGGCCAATGAAATATAAGAAAAAAAAAAAGACAAAAAAAAAAGACATCACAAAGCAGGATTAATTTTGTGTTAATACTTACCAGCCGAAATAGCTTAAAGAAATCAACATTTGCATACAAGGCATCTTCTACTCTTTGCAGACTGTCCTGGGACAGGGCACACATGGCCTTGTGTACAGAAGGGAGACCTCTTCGGCTGCTGAAGATAATAAAGCGGTCCAGGAGCATCTCACTGCAAGCAATGTCCTTCAGAGTCAAGCTAGGAACACCATAGGCAAACTGCAACCAAAACCAACATTTCACTTACTATTATGAAACTTGCACACTGCTCAGGAACAATTAAACATTTATCAAAAGGGGACAGTTTGATACCAGCCCCTGCTAATATTTTAATGAATGGCAGAGCGATGTGGTCAGCTAAAGCATCAACCCTTGAATCACCTTCACTTGATGTTATGCTAGATCACCTTGCCTTCAGACACATTTTTCGTCTTCTCATTGGCGAGTTTTCCTTTCATTGCAAAAGCCCCTGTCAGTCATCTTCCCTTCCTCACTAGGCACACCTGAAGATGTGCCACCCATCCTTGTGGCTAAGGAGGGACAGTTGCAATTTGCTTGAAATTATTTTACCAGGACCAAATGATATTACTGCATCACTCTACCTTTTGTGTTCAGGTTAGTTATATTTTTGCTGTTACTTTCTCTAAGAAAAAACAAAAAAAGGCCCAATACCTCTGATTCTCAAGCTTGGTTTACCTCAGCATTCTATTTCACTATTGGCTATTTCACTACAATGCTTCCCACAGCCATTATTCACTGTCACTCTGCACAGGTATATAGCCAGGGTTTACAAAGCCATTTTACATTAAATCACACCCATTTACTGTTTACCACTTGTAATATAAACATGGAACAGAAAAAGCCCAAATTTTTATCTTCAGTGTTCACTAATGAGAATGCATTAGTTTATAGTTAAACTAATGTAAATGCAGAATAACTCTGTAGAAATCAGATTTACATGAGATTTACATTGTTGTTATGGAATGCTCTTTGTAGTCTATGAATAAATTCAACTTACTTTACAATATACAGCATATATGGTCATATAATAAAAAGTAGCTCTGGAAATTGCTTATAAGCTAGTGTTCCCATCCTTTGTCCATCTCCTTCCACAGTGCAAATTTAACAGAACACTATGATGACTGTAAATGCCTACTGTGTTTGAGATGAACACAGGCTTTCAGACAAGCAAGAACTATGCACTGTCACAATATCATTAGACTAATTGAATTTTATAAGCTGCACAAGAAAGAAACTGTAAAAATCTACCCAGAAAATAATTTTTTTAGAAAAATAATCTGCTGAGCATTCCAGTCTCTAAGACATACGGATTAAAAAAACACACCACACCTATACCAGGTCAGACAGGTGCATATTTATTTCTTATCTAAGCAAATTAGGAAATTCATCATTATCGAGATTTTATATGTGTAAATCTCTTATAGTTAGCAGCTAAGACTTGTTTGGTGGTGCCTGTAAAGAGAATATTTAAAAACACTGAGGAATGAGAAAAAAAATAATTTAATTGCTTTGGAGAATGGATCAAAGTAGACTGAGGAGTTATTCATTAAGTGCTTCATCTGTCAGAAGCTATCAACCAAAGTGCAAGTGCGGCTCTGGAAAGCATCCAGAATATGAAAGGTAGAGGCAGAGAGGTCTAGGATAATGTTGTATTTTATCTGCCATGACTGCCCTGAATTTCAGCTTATGGAGCTGCAGTTGACAAAAAAAGAAAGGACTCTGAATTACACACAGATTGTATTTTGGAATTATGATGCAAAAAAGAGATGTGAATTTCTATAAGTATCTGAGAGACATTATCATCACTGCAGCTGTGCTGATATAAAGGCATTGTAAACACAAGTTAGACAGTGTGGAGAGAGGCAGAACGCAAAAGAATGAATTCAACAGACAGATCCAGTCTATCTTGCAAAAAACCTCCAAAACCACACACCCCTGCCCTCCTTCAAACTGGAACATTTGAATTGGAATTAAGTTAGTTTGTGTCAGTAAAATAATTTGCATATTTGCTCAGTCGCTTATGTCCTGGGGATGTGTGTGTTAAGAACAGCATTTTTTAACCACACATGCCTCATTTGGCATGGTCCTCATCAGCCAGTGTCAGCTGCAATGAAACTGGGCTGCACAGGGAGGCAGCCTGGGAGCCTTGATCTGTGAAATGAGGAGACAGTGACATTAACATCACTGAGAAGGATAAACACAGAAAAAAAAAAAAAAAAAAAAAAAAGAGTTGTTATTTACAAACTCTAACTGCATTTCAATAATATTCATGAACAGATGGGATTAGAAAAACATAAAACCTCCACCCTTCCAATTTTTCCGGTAGGCTGTGCTGCTGCCAATCTTTCCTGAACTTCTCATTGTGTTTTAACATCAGTTTCTTATCTTTATCTTAGAATGACTCAAAAAAGCAGGCCCTCAGAGGGAAACTTCAATACCTTTTTTTTTTTTTAATCAATGTGTCACTGTTTAGCCAAAGCTGGCAAGATGAAGTCCAAATTATTTTTTCAGCTAGTTGGCTGTTTGATCAGGTTTAGCTTTCAGCTCTGTGTGTCATTTCCTGACTCCCAGGCGGCTCAGACCTAGATCTCCAGCCAGCTGTTGGCAACAGCCAGGCTTTTGTAAACAAGTTGCTTTCAGGTTGATCAGCTCTGTGCCATCAGCAGCAGGGGGAAGGGGTGCACAGAAATATGCAGGCAAACAGAGGGCACAGCAGCATGAAGAACTGGAGATCAATTATCAGTTGAGGATTAAGACAACCATAGATCTAGGGTCTAGTCATGGCTCTGAAACTTCCACCTCAACCATGCATAAGTTCAGCCCAAAAACTCACTTATCAAGAAGGGCTATTGGAATGAAGCAAATTATCCCCCACAGAAAATGCAATGTTCAATTCCTATGGAAAAGAATTCTCTCATTGTGTCTTCAAAATTATGTGTTTGTTTTTTCTGAATCATTTTCACCTGAAGGAAATATTCACAGCACTTTCCTTCCTCATAGCCATAAATCAGCTCTGGTGAGATGATCTTGTATCCCTGTAATTACTGCTAACAAGGAAACTGTATAGAGGGCAGCAAAAGTGGCATTTAACACCGGATCTCCTCCAGCTTCCTCTAACCAATGCTCAATTTCTTTAATTTCCAGCATAAAGAGAAGTACATCTCTTTCTACATCAGCATAGAAAATACAGCAGAAAGACACCACATTCCAGCAGGTTTCAATCATTTTTTTTTTGGTGATGGTGTCAAAAACTTCAGTTCTGCATACACTGGCAAGAATAATTTTTAGCAGTAGATGAATAAATGCCACTGGGGAGTTAGAGTCTAACACAGCAGCACTCAGTTCTGACGCAGCAGACCTCTAGTGTAGAAGAGGTTAGGAATGAATAGGGAAAGAGAAATCCAGCAGCATATCTGTATATATTCTCCTTGCCACAGCAGCAAGAAAGCAAATTTTCAACATCTCAGCTGACACAGAAGTGTGAAAATATGTAGGATTGTCACCCTGAGAATCAGGCCTTTCAATATTGTTTTCATAATTTCTAGCCACATTCCCAGGAAAGTAACAATAAACATAGGTGTTTATACATTCCATTAAAGATTTGCCTTTTGATGGACATCTCTCATAGCCAGTGAGGTTGGGAAGGTGGTGACCTGACTACCCAATCCCTGGTCATTTTCAAAAACCTATAAATATGGAAAGAACAAATAAACTTTCATCTTCTTTCATCACACTTCGAGCTGCATCTGTGTGAATAATTTCATGTCTGATAGTGACATAGGATGTATCAATTGACACTGGCTTTGGTATGATCTTGTGGTATTTGATTTGTGATAAAGTGAGGAGAGGGGAGGGCTTCCCCAAGTACCAATCAACAATACAGCAGATAAGTAATTTGGCTACTGGTCACACCAGCTAAAACCTGTGATGCACAAAAGGAACTGCATGAAAGGTCATGAATACCCTCCCTCTTTCTGCCCACAAACAGTTTCAGTATTTGCATTTTATGTGGCAGTGAAACAGAGGAATTGTGTCTTTGAGCCTCAGTTATTCACTTGCTTCCGCCCACACTAATGCAGTGTAGAAATTATTCCAGAATTCCAATTCAGCAACATTCATTCATTAACATAGCATTCCTCACAGAGCTCCCAGTCACCATGCAGAAGCAAATACAGCATGTACATGCAGAAGCAGAGACAGCCTGGACTTAACTTGAAGCTTAACTGCTTCAGGAGGGATTTGACCCGCACTTTTCATTCTGACTTTTCTGAGCAGATTTATTATTCAATCAGAATCTAAGAAAGTGGCTCTGCTTCTCCACTTCCACCTATTCATGTGAGACAATACCAAAAAGCCACCATGCTGACATTAGGGCAGAGAATTTAAACTATAAACTAAGAACCTCCAATAGTTCTTCTCTCATCAGGACTATTATCTCAAAATCATGCACAGCTTCATTATGCTCTTGAGTCAAGTCTTCAGTCATGGGGATGGATGCAGAACTTGGCAGTACTATTTCTTGATGCTTATTATTTGGGTGCAACAAAAGGATTTTGCTGTTTATTTAATATTTTATTAACATTTAATACATACTCAAAATGTTTTTTAAAGACAAAGCAAACCGCTCTTCCTTTAGATTCACAAAAAAAAGGGGAGAAATTTTACAAACAACCCATAAGACATCAGTTATTCTGAGCCCAAGGCCTTCACTGAGGCTACTTTGTACATACTACTAGGAAATTCTTTCCTCACAGATAAGGACTTGGTAACTGTTAAACTCTACCCACCTGTTCAGGGCGCACTTGAGCATTAATAAGTTGGTAAACAACAAAATCTGTGAGGCCAACATTTTCTAGCAAGAAGGAAGTGAGGGTCTCCCCATCTTTCAAAATGTCTAGAATTCGTATTCCTCTTCCTGGATGAAAAAGAAATGCACAGATCAGTGAGATACCAAACAAAGGAAGTTGAAGAACAACTCATATCCTGGCTTAAATCTGCAAAAAGAATGTGCTTTAGGTCTTATACCTAGTTGTAACTAACTGGGGCTAAAATTATTTTTGCAATTCAAAACCATTTTAATCCTTTGTTGGGAAATGATAATCAGAAAATGCTGAGTGATCTGGCTCTGTGTATCTGATCTCCCAAAGATGTTTCGACTAGGGCTACAGCAATAGGCACATAGAAAGCAGCCCTGACTGCATTTGACAGTGTCTGATTTTTTATAACATAATGTTTTATTTGAAATGTTCAGATTCAAGTATGCTACTGTTCTTGGTGTCCTTTCTTCTGAGCCTTGTGTAAATAACTTTAGTCAACCCTTTACATTTACACTAATTTATCACTTGCTGTCAATCAATTTTTGTTAGCTAACCTTATTCTCTAGCATTTCAAAAGTGACCCTTAAAAATCTTCCATGAGAAAAAACTCAATTTCTTTGGAGAAGCATAAAGTGTAGCTCATGCTTCATATTAAACAAGATTAACAACTACTCTTCAGGCAAACCAGTGAGACCACCCATTGTTAAATTAGTCACATGTAAGAGGCCACCAAATTTCCCTGATACTGTCTGGAATAATACTCAAAATACTGCTGCTCCTAAAGTTGAACAGCTCCAATCTTTTAAAACTTGTCTTTGTTACAAATCTTATCAGTGAGAACTCTGCCTCAATATGGTGCAAGACAAAAGCTTGGAATCTTAATGTTGCTCATGTTCATCAAATGTTTATTATAACTTTATTAAATTATACCTTTATTAAAGGTACCTTACACAGCATCCACAGACTTTGGTAAAGAATGCTTGAACAGCTTTAATTCTTCTAGTCTTTAGAACAGTCAATTGAAACTGACAGGAACAGTGTGTATTCTACTGACATATGGAATGTTCTAATAAACATGCACTCCATTCTGCGAGCAGAGTCTTATCAGAGTTTGCCAACTAACTTCCACAATTCCATCTGCACTAAGCATATTCTGGCCTGAGGCTACACGGCCTGAGAACTTCTTCAATTGTTTCTCCACATATTTATTCAAGCAGTAAACACTGAAAACAATAGCAGGGGTCTGTCCCTCATATTCTTACTGATGCCTTTCCTGGCATCCAGGCAGTGGGGAGGAAAAAGCACACCACAAGAGCACATCAAAAGTGTCAGTGCAAAGGGAGACTGGGACCAGGAATGAGGACTCAAAAGGTAGGTCTGATTTCAGGCATCAGTAGAAGGGGCAATCCCAACTATGACATGTGTGAACTTTTCCTTGCTCAACTTTGCAGCTGTTCTATTAAGATTGTTACTCGAAAGAAATACTAGTAAGCTATAAACACAGAGAAATTAAATAGCCAATCTTTCAGTAACTTTTTCTGTATGAAGAAAGATGGCGATTAGTATTTTATTAGTTAAGCTTCAGAACTGACTTTTTATTATGTTTTATATAATAGGAAATCCCAAACTTCTATATTTATTTTTTTTAAATAAAACACATTTTAAACCCCCACAGATTCGGAAGGAGCATTAGCATTGTATGTCACAGGATTGGTGGGAATGTACTCTATATTTCATGAGTAAAGTTGATATGGGATGCAAAGGCAACTTCCTAAACCATGGGGTGTGGTCCCTCAGCAATAAATAGCAAACCCATGGCATGTCATGCTTTTCCTTGCCTCTAAATAGTCAGGTTTGATTTCTATGGCTGGGTACAAACAACAGCTCAGATTATACTCAAGCTCTTGTTTATATTCTGGGGCATTTGGTTGTCTCACTCTTATTTACAAGGACATAATCCCTTTTTTACTTCCAATTATAAACCTCTGATAGGATAGTGGACCATGTGTATCAGATGGCTTATATACACCCTGTTAAAAATATATGGAGAGTGACTAATTTTAATCAGAATGCTATTCCTGTGACAAAGGATTTGAAAATGGGACAGATCAATTCAAAAAGCCAGACCATTTCTGTATCTTTAGTTTTAGGAATACCTTTTCAAATTCTGCACTTCATGTCCAAAAAATGTACAATCATACCATTCCCTATTTTCCCCAGGACTGTGTTTTGAGTTTGGCAAGTTGCTTTAAATAAAAGCTAATGCAAAGAATTTGTGATTTGCAATTCTGCTTATGAGTTCAATGCTTTATCTTTCTAAACATATTGTGAAGGGTTTCCTTCTTCACTGTTTCAAACCTGTTTTAGCTAAGACTGTGACAAAGTACCTCTAAGCACTTCTCTGAGTTATGCTCCTGCATATATTCAGGCATGTTCCTAACTTTCCATTCCTCTGCATCTTCCAGTGATACTTTCTCAGTGCTTCTGCTTTTACTGTAATAATAATTTCTTCATTATTATGAAGAATTATTCTTCATTACTGTAATAATGACATTTCTTCAGCCACATTTTACTTTGTGTGGGGAGATATCCATGCTTTTCGAGTTTTGTCTACTGTTATTTAAGGAAGATGGTTGTAGAATGGAGCTGACTGCCTCGCTCCTTTCCCTCAAATGACACGTGTTTGTCACTGAACAGATTTTAACTTACCCTAACAGTAAGCAGAGACACAGTAACATGTGAAATATAATGTTGCCAGCCTCTACAGTAACTACTATCCAGCTCTCAGAAGGAAAAATTAAATAGTCTAAAGGATATAGACACAATTACCTGCAATTCTTTCAGGATTAGTTCTCATTGTTTCCATAAACTGAGTCATAATGATCAGTTCTTCCCAGATTCTTCCAAGGTCATGGATTTCAGGGGCTTCCAGTAAAAGCTCCTGAGCATCTTTATATACCCTTGCAAGGCTGAAAGGGGAAATAATGAAGAAAGAATAAGAGTGATGACTTTTGAGAACCTTTCAAGTAAAAACAAAACCAAACAAACATGCTGGTCTTTCTTTAGCCATGCTACCTTCCCCAGACATCTTGTATCTCACAGTTACAGTGCAAATCCGCCCTGGTTCTAGCCCAGGGCCAGCTCCAGCAGTTGTAATGGGGCACTCTGGGCACATGCTTAGCCTAGCAAGTGATGTGTAATCAGTCACAAAGAGAAACATCCTTCCCCTCACACATCAGTTCCCTCCAATTTGTTTGGCTCCTTCAGAATATTTCTCCTAGGAGAAGCAGGAAAACACAAGTAACAAATAATCACAGCTGTTCAACTACTGGTTCTGAGTTAGAACATACAGATCAAGCAAGTATGCACCAAGATCCTGTATTTATGAACAAGCATAAAAAATTCTTACTATCAGGTAAGGCCATTACTTCTTTAACAGTATTATGTTTTTCCATGCATGCAATAGTATATGTCAGTCCACATGACTCGTTTCAGCTTACAGGAAACAACAAACAGGAAGGACCAAATTCCTTCAGAAAACACAATGAATTTACTTCTGCTGTAGTACACTGAATTTACTGTAACTGACAAAGTAACAGTTTGCTCTGTAACAAGCAACTTAGAAAAGCTAGAATGTACAGAAAACAGAGCTTTCTAGCTTCACTGTGTGCTTGATTGTACCCCACCAAAAATGTTCCACTGACTATTTTAAATCCTGTACAGTAGGAACAAAAGTGAAAATGGTAAATTAAGTCCACGTTACAAACTCTCAAATGACAGGGGCTTCAATGGTCTTCACGTTATTAGGTCATGAATTTTAATCATTGGATGATCCAAAGTGGACTTTGCAACAGGGAGATTTGGAGCATTTTTTATATTCAGGCTGATGGGTTTTTTCACTCTAAGGGTTCTTGTCCGCTATACTTTCTTTCATGACTCAGCTGTAACAAACAACACAATAAAACACTCCCACAGCCCCCTTTTCAGTAATAGTCTGGAAATCTCCCACTCTCCTATTTTGCAAACAAGCTTAGTATCTCAAGGTTATGTCTGATTAAAGTCTCACAAGTATCTAGTCAAAACCAGTGCTACATGAGAAGTGGCAGTGAAGGTTATTTGCTGCTACTTCATCAGAGATCTCATTCAGAAGGGACAACTCTGATGATGAGAAAAGAAAGCTTAGGGATTCCATGCTCTTTTATCAAAAAGGTTAGTCCTAAGACATTTAGTGAGCAGGTTCTTACAGATTTTATTAAGTGAACAAGTGTTCCCTAGAGACTTGCACTGAAGTGTCTCTCTAAAAGGCCCAAACCTACCATTGTGAGCTCTGTTGCAACTTTGCTGACCATTGTTAGCATGAAACCAAAGTGTTAGAACTGAAAATTTTTGCCTTCCACTGTTTGCACACCGGTATTATTACCTTCCCTTTTAATTCATATCACAGAACAATTCTTTAAAATTCTTTAAATTAAATTTAAAATTTAATATTCCTTGGTGTGGTGAGAGACCTTTCTAAGCAAGGTGAGGATACTCCAGCCTTTCTCCCTGCATCATTCATGCCCATGAACACCCAACAGGTGCCCAGAGCAGGCTATCAGCAGTTCCCAGCAGGCCTGTATTGCTGCAACCCAGTCTTGCATATACAGCTCTACTTACATGGAATTTTTGTAGTTGGACACTACACCTGGACCCTCTCCATGGGTTGGGCTGCGGAAACAGGGATTGTTCATGTTACAGAAGATGCCATGTAACCATGGCAGTGTTCCTGCTGATGGCATTGCCTTGTTTGGGAAGTGACCTAGAGTATCGAAACATAAAATACAAATTAGGTGTCTTTTCTAAGTTAGGTGTCTTTTCTAATGCAGCCTCTGTGAATATAAATAGCATGATGAGTTGGCTCTCTACAGAAGGAATGTGATAGGAATCATATAGGTTTATCTTTTACTGAGAAAAAAGAAGTCACTAATATAAGCAATATGGCTGTTTTCAATAGAAATTGATTCTGAGTAATGTGAAATGCCTTTAAAATAGGTAGTGAGGTAGTACTTTCTCAGTACCAGTATTATGAAACTCTAAAACTAGATAGCATCTTGAGATCCCAGGTAAGTCTGATCAGAAAGCGTCTCACAGGAAAACTAGATGTTTTTTTCATGTCCTCACTGATAATTCTTACACTACATGTCTACAAATAACTAAGATACTCAAAAACTGAAGTCTGTTCTTTCACCTCTGGACAGTAACAGTCTGCAAACAGGCCCAGATACTTTCTTCTTGGAACACTCGGCCATTACCTACAAGTCAGATCATGATAACATCTTGAACATTCTTACATTCATGTTGGCGATACAGTGGATTAGCTTTCCTCAGCCAGACAAGCACAAGAAATAATGACAGAGGCCATACAAGCTCCACCAGAAAACGAAGCTGGAAAAAAAGGAAAAAAGGAAATTAAAAATAAATTTTACAAGTAGACCACCATAGAGTCACTAGGTGGCCAAAGGGATGGGACCTCCTCTCACAGCAGAAAAGCCCAGTGCAGCATGTGCCCATGGCTATCCTTTGCCTGTTTCACCATTTGAAAAGGACACCCAAAAGAGGATTTCATCAGAATGACATGAAGCATCACCATGAGCTCAGTGCTCAGTGGCTTCTCCACCTCTTCTAAAGAAATATCTAAGTATGCTGACTGGGGTAAAAAGAGGCAACGGGTAGTGCATGACTCTGCAACAAGGATTAGATACAAGAGACGAAAGGATTTTTTTAATCCACACTTTGACACTGCTGGGCTCATTAGCAGGCTGTCAGTACATTGTGCTTACCCAAAGGTAAAAGACTTCAGTGTAAGCTTTACATACTTTGACCTTTACATTTTCTATTTTCTGTCATCATTAATTTCAATGTTATTAATTTCCTAATACCTGTAGAAATGTATGCATTAAGATCAAACACCTTATTCAACAACAGAAGACCCCATCAAAGGCCACTTTTTTGCCCAGACCTTTCAATACACTTACAACAGTCACTGCCTCCCGTGTCATGTCAGAAAATCAAGGGCACTGCTTTACCACAGAGCAACATCCTGCCTGGTTTTCAGTCTGCTTCCTCCACCCCTGTGTTTCAGTTTGTTTTACTGCCTCTGTGTGTTTTGGCAGAGGTTTGAAACTACAGTCCTTTGATCCTGTAACACAGGCCTTGGGCTCTGAGGAACAGCAATGGGATTTTTGTGTCCAGACACATGGCACGTTTTTTCTCCTCCCTGCAACAGCCAGGACAAAATATCTTCAGAACCAGGATTGTAGTATATGCACAGGAAAGCCCTCCTTGTTTCTTTACCTTTGCTCCCTCCTCCCCAACCAGGTACCAAATACGTAATAATAATGCACGTAGCAGCAGAGCCAAAGACAAGATGGGTTACATGTGAATGTTGTTTCGGGCAAAAGGCACTCCACAGCATAATTAAGAACAGTTTCTTTGGAGCTGCTCTGTTTTTCCACTAGAATTTTGTCTAACAGCTTTAGCAAAACACAACATATTCTTAGAGCAAAAGGGTAGAAAGCTTTACATCAGGCAACAATTTACTATTTCATATTTTTCCTCTTAAGGGTTTCCTTTTTAAAACAGAACAGTAACAATAAAACCACCCACCACCACCAAGGAAGTTATGCATGCCTGATCTTTTTTAAAAGCAGACAAAATCTTACCAGCAGCAAAAGGCAAATGACACAGTTATTAGAGAGGGAAACCTGACATAACTGACAAACCTGTGCATAGCTCAGAACACAGTGTTACAGACCCTTCCCAGCAGGGTCCACAAGGTCTGAGCAAGATTCATTGCCATCCATTTGGTAAACCATTTGGGACAAACACTAAACACTGAAACTCAGAGGGGCAAGAACTGGTGAGACTCCTTGGTCCACCTTTGCTGCAGAGTTAGTCTGTGTTAATGCTCAGATGTTGATTCTTTCTTCATCCCCAGGAAACACAAAATCCTCAGACTTGAATTTGGTAGCGCCTTTCTGTCTGAGTTAACTAGCTTGGAAAAGATTGAAGTCTGAAGCCCAGGGGAAGCTTTATTTTAACCTGGTACACAATGTGTTGTGTGATAAGGACAGACCAGTGCTGTCAGGCCTCTGATTCTTTCCTGTAGACCTTACGCAGAGGATACAAAGGTGTCTCAGAATTCACTAGAAGTATCAGAAAGCAGCCCATAAGCCTGCAGAACCACATGATAAATAGCCAGGAATCCCAGCAACATGCACAGAGAAATGTAATATCCAGAGAGAATTGTAATGGAACAAGCACAGTGGTAAGACCATATAAATGTGAGAAGCTTAAATTAGTTGTGGATCACCTGTTGACTGTGCAATGAAGTCATGCTGTAAGATGAAATATCGTAAGATCTAAGAGGATTTGAAAGTACTTAAAATACTTCTGGCTTTTGCTTTACTTATGTCATTCAGCCATACTAAAAAAGACACAATCTCTCTGAACTGTAAGGTCCTAACTTGAATCACATCTAAGAGCAGCTGAGTGTGAAGAGCCAATCTAAAATTAGGAATCAAACCTTCCTGAGCTGAATGGTGCTCATGATGTTTTCTAACAACAGATCTTTTTATGTGAAAATATATAAATATTACTACCCACAACTCTTCTGGTACACAATATTATTTGTCAAAGCAAATACCAACACAGCTATTCTATGTTTGGTGTGTAAAGAGCAGCTTTGCAAACTGCACCAGACAAGATGCCAGACAACAGGCCCCTACAAAAATCACATGTGATTCTTTGAGGGACTTGAGAGTTTTACATGCTGATAAATGTACTCCACTTAATCCAGTGCATAGTTCAAACCTGTAATCCAAGGACCAATATTTTACCTTTTGTCTTCTCCGAAGGACCCAATTCTTCCAGAGGAGAAGTCTGACTTGCCTAAAGAAGTTCATTCTTCTGCATCAATACTTCTGGTTAACCTGTGGAAAAGGATGCATTGCCATTTCTCAGCTGACAGCAGAAATGAACCTTAGAGCAAAATAACAGCTTTCTGTTCTTATTTTAAGATCATGTTATCACAGAGATCGGTTCCTTTCATTGTCTGCACCATTTAATTTTGCACTTGATACACTACCATGCATGAAAAATTGTGAGTTTCCTTTGTTTGGAGGCTACTTCCTGTGACACATTTATCAGCACCAAAAAGCAGTAGAGAGGAAAAACATCCCTTTTGAATAAGAAATGTCATGAACATTGAATTTGGCTATTAACTTGGACTTGTGTGTAATGAAGGCAGTTAATTGTTGCATCATTTATCACAATAAATCTGTGGTTTTAAACTAATTTTTTTCTAAGAAAAGATGGATTTACTACTAGACATTAGTTTATATAAAACTGTTTCATTATTATGATCCAATTAGGTTTATCATTCAGACATGATAAATGTATATTGATTAACTGAGTGTGAAATGGAGTTTATAAAAGCAAATACATTCTGTTGCCATTTCCTTAAAAAAAAATACAGGATTTCCTATTTTTATGTTTTTAAATTCAGCAACTCTTGTTACATTTTAGTAGATATACCACAGAATTTAAACCATTGCATGCTCTGTTTTTCAGGTTAATGACTCTTTATAATCACCAGAAATTTTTACCTTCAAAAGAAAAAAGGAAATTTTACATATAAATCCAAATACCAGATAAATGTTAAAAAATAAACAAATCATTTAAATTTGCTACCTGCATCAAGTTCCTACTTTATTGCTCCTTTATGGGATTTAAATGATTGAAGAGTATTTTCTATATTTTCTTTCTTTATGAATGATAAGTAACTGGGAGCATGTTGAAAAGGAAATTTCAACGATTTTATGGGAATCTCCACTGTAGATTACTGAAACTTCTACAAAAACTTACACAGGTAAAACCACTCATGGAATAGATAATTTTTTTAAGTCTCACTTTTCACTATTCTTCTAGAATTTTGTTTCTAGGAATTACATTAATTGAAGGAGATTTTATCTGATTTTAACAGACAAGGTTTGGAAAACAAGTCAGGACATTCTGGCCTAATGTGTCAACAAAGCAGTAGTGAAAAACACCAGATAAGAGATTTGATTATTCCAGAAAATCATCTCAGGTCCACATTTTATGAACTGCAAAGGAATTTTAACTTCAAGGGAAGAGATGGCCAGCACTAGGGAAGGGTTGGCATCAGCCGTGACTGACCCTGGTAGAAAGAGACCCTAAAGAATGTGCAATCTCTTCTGATATACCAGGCATGAAAGTGATAGAAGCAGGATATTTAGGGTCAAACAGTAAGAATTGGCTGTGCTGCTTACTGGGGATCAAATAATAAAGCAACTATTCTGCAGAAAGAACATCCATACTAAACCAAACTTGGAACATTTTCCATATTTTGGAGATCAACAGTTTCCTGCAATTTTCCACATCCCTCTATCAACTCTAACTGCTTAAGTTACAGAGCAAGAAGAATTAAGACTAGCTATAAAAAGCTGCTGCTGCTGTGAAGAGTAAATGGACTAAGATCTGATGGTTTGAAAAAATACACTTTGGGGTATGACAGCCTCACACTTTGAGTTGCCAACAATAGGGAGTCAGACAGCTTCCTGACCCTTTTATATAGCCCAGGGCTCTTGAATCTGTTGCTACTCTGAAAAAATGAACCCTACTGCTGAACAAATGAGGAAGAGATAGTTTTCCACTCCAACTTCTCTTGCCTTCCTCTAAACCCCAGATGGATGCTGCAACCTTTCTGCAACAGCTGTGAAAGGAAATTCAAACTTTCATATCAACGCCATAAAATCTGTAGTCTGCCAATGGTCTTCTTTTCCTCCTGATGGTTCTTTACTGAGCCACTGTCTTGGTTTGAGACAAAACCAGGACAGCCACCCATCACTAAGAGTTTTTCTCTCAGTAAGAGATTCCACAGTACTACAGAGAGTCCTAGCTAGTGTTTCTAAGTATTGTGCTATGTGTGACAAACCTGCATCTCTCTTGAACCAGTAGCAGTACTACTAGTAGTACTACTAGTAGCTAGAAAATTTGTCATGCAGGGCCATAAATGAGATGATGACTGCCAGATAAAATGGCTGCTAGCATTTGCTTTGAACAGTCTAACTATTTTTCTGAGACTAAAAATATAAGTAGTAAAGAAGCCAAACAAATAAACCTTGGTGGGAAAAAAGGGCAGAAAGTCAGGTTATACAGATTGTGTTTGCTATGTAATCTTCAAGATGTTTTTTACACTGAATCTTGCTAGTTATATTTGTTGATATTTACAGGGAGCCATTGCTTTTAAGAGAAGTAATTCAATGACATACAACCTAATTTATATGCATAAAGGGACAAAAAATTGTCAAATGCTCTCCAGGAAAGTGCCTACTAGATTGATTACCAAGGTTAACACTGTGCTACGTGAGTCAGAATTTAAAAGTACTTAACTATTAAAGTTATGGCATTAATGCATGAATTTCAATCAACATACAAAACTTTAAGGAAGTTTCTACATTGCTCATCAAAAAGACACACTTTAGGAACACATGTAATTTCAGGATGAACAATTGTTCTCCTTAGACTGGTTTGTTTAAAAAACCTTCTCTAGGAGCTAAAGGAAAAGAACCTTGCTTTCCTAAATGGAACAGCTTCAGGGACTTGAGTTAACCTTATTTTGCTTTGAAATCGAAATTAGTGAAGATGAGACAAAGAAGGAGGAAAAGAAGAACTTAAATCATGCAGTCAGAAGACACTGGACAGATAAACCTAAAATTTGGTAGCAGCACAGAATAAATAAAGAAAAATTAATTTTCAGTCCTGAAATATCCTTTCCTACACAGGCATTACTCAGACAAACCAACACATTTGTGTGGTTAAGATTCAAGATTTACTACTTTAAGTAGAGCAAAACACTATAATAAAAAAGCACAGTAGAACCATGATAAAGAATAGTACCTAGTAATAATGTGTGGAGAACTCCACTTCGACTGAGGAGGTACATGAACTTCTGGAGTGATTAGTCATGGTGGAGATCTATCTTCACTCTTTACAGGCAGCTTCTCATAAAATCAGTGGTGGCTTGGGACTGCTGCAATCAGAAAGAGAACAGGCACTGAAAGGAATTCAATTTCCAAAAAAGAAGTTCATTTACATGGATAACAACACTCTCCTAAAATCAGAAAAAGACCGCTACACTTATGAACTGAGTGAACACTGAATTCCCTATAGATTTTCCTCTGTAAAGGGCATCTGAAACAGCTATGCAGTAAAACCTCCCCCCAGTGTTCATGCTGGGTGATGACTCTGTATGAGCACTATCACAGCTTCCCTTGTGATTGTTCTTCCAAGTAGAAGCTGAACAACAATCCAGCCTTCATTATTAAAAAAAACCTTAAAAAGCATGTGGCAGTGCTTGCCTTTTTCTTTCCCCTTCACAGGGCTTTGGGAACACCTTTGAAAATCCTCCACAAAACTGCTTCACTGAATTTAACACTCTCTAGATTTCCCCCAGAGCTCACTGCAGCTCTGACAGCAGAGCACTGCACTCTGCTTCTGTCCCAGCACCATCACAGAGCCTTTGAGCCCCTGCACACAGGTGCCACCTAAACCACTCACTTCAACCTGGCTTCTGGCACAAAGGATAACAGAGCACAGGAGCAGGCCATCCCTATGTGCTGAAAGGTGAGCCAGCAGGGAAGACGACCAGCCTTGGCTGAACAGGGCACTTTCACTGGAAGTCAGGCGAAAATAGAGAGTTTATGACCTTTGGAAGAACGGGCAGTCAACTCAGGAAGAGTGCAAGGACATTGTTAGGTCACGTAGAAAGAAAATTAGAATGACAAAAGCTCAGCTAGAATTCAAAGTGACAACCACTGTGAAAAATAATAAAAAGTGTTTTTATAAATGTATTAACAACAAAAAGAGGGCCAAAGGAAATCTCCATCCTTTACTGCATGCAGAGGGAAACACTGTAACCAAGGATGAGGAAAAGGCCTTGGCATTTAATGCCTTGCTTGCCTCAGTCTTCAACACAAAGATTGGTTATCCTCAGGGCAACTGGTCCCCTGAGCTGGTAGACAGGGATGGGGAGCAGAAAATCTCCCCTGCAATCTATTAGGAGGCACTTAATGACCTGCTGTGTCACTTAGACACTCACAAATCCATGAAGCAGGATGGGATCCACTCAGGAGTACTGATGAAACTGGCAAAAGAGTTTGCCAAGCCTCTCTTCATCATTCATCATGCTTCCTGATAAACCAGGGAGGTCCCAGATGACTGGAGATTGGCCAGTGTGACAAGCATTTGCCAAATGGTCATAACAATCCCAAGCAGTGCTACAGATGGGGGGAAGAGTTTCTGGAAGGCTGCCCAGTGGGATGCTGGTCAGCAGCTGCTGAACATGAGCCAGTGTGTGCCCAGGGGGCCAAGAAGGCCAGTGACATCCTGGCCTGGATCAGGAATGGTGTGGCTAGCAGGAGCAGGGCAGGGATTGTCCCCCTGTACTGAGGCACCACCTCGAGTGCTGTGTCCAGTTGTGGGCCCATCACTTCAGGGAAGACACTGAGGGGCTGGAGCAGGTCTGGAGAAGGGCAGTGGAGCTGGAGAAGGGTCTGGAGAGTGAGTCCTGTGAGGAGTGGCTGAGGGAGCTGGGGTTTAGTCCGGAGAGGAGGAGGCTCAGAAGAGAATTTACCATTCTCTACAGCCACCTGCAAGGAGGATGTAGCAAGATGTAGCAAGGGTGTTGGCATCTTTTCCCAGGCAAACAGTGACAGGACAGGAGGGCATGGCCTCAAGCTGACCCAGGGAAGGTTCAGGCTGGACATCAGGAGGAACTTTTTCACTGAAAGGATTGCTCAGGAAGGTGGTAGAGTCACTCACCCTGGAAGCGTTTAAGAAATAACTGACATGGCACTTTGCACTATGGTTTAGTTGATGTGGA